TTTTATGCAACTAAAATAACTTCTAATCTGGCTGTCACATTAATTAATTTGAATATTGTCGCTTTGGCTTCCGTATTTTTATTTTCTTTCATGTGCGATGTATTCAACTGAAGAAAAAGTTGATATTATCAATTGGTATAGTGTCGGAAACAGTTTAAGGGGCGTAAGAGATTTATTTTCTGTGTATCCAAAGCAATAATATGCAAATTAGTGAATATGACGGTCAGATAATTATTTGTTTTAAGAGGTTATTCTGGATGCATATAATTACGGGCCTTTCAAAAGCGATTTTGTCATTTAAAAGTAGACATAGGGAAAAACAATACACGTAAATCCCAATGTGTACCTACTTGTTAATAATGTACAGGGTACCCATTATGTATGGAATATCGTGTAATATATCTCGGTAAATATCGAATGTATACAAAATGTTTTTATATGAAAGTTGTTTAGCATTTTATTTTTCATAATAAGGAAGCATTCAATTGTTTTTATTTCAGAAAACAAATGAGTAACGAAAAACAATTGAATTTTTTTAAATGGCAGTGCACCTTTTCATTACGCTCATTTGATAGAAATTTCTTTTCTCTTTTCGATGATATAACATGATAGTACCCTTATTCAAAAAAATTTATTATAATTTGATCAGTAACATTAATCCAGATATCATACATCAAAATAAAACAATTGAACAAAACGAAATTAGCAGTAAAATGGCTTTCATCCCAATGAATGTTCAAAATCTTCACTACAGGGCAGTGCCATCACCTATCACAAAAGGCTTGAAATAAAAATTATCTTTTATTATACCTGAATCACAATCCCCGTTTTAAACACTCAAATGCGTGCGAAAAAGGGCCTTTAAAACACACGTGCTTTAAAGTTGCTAAGTAACGATACTTCAAGTATGACTTTTGAAACTGTCATCTGGATGAAATAAAAAATCCTCTTAGGTCGCTTTCTGTAAATGCAGAACATTTCTTTGGCTTTTGTACCTATCCTTTGGTTGAAGCTTTCACAAACGCGCGTAATTTAGGGTATGCTTCCAAATCTGTTCCACTTTTTAATCGCAGCATTGCTTTAAAGTTTTGAATGAATGCACCAAAATATAGAAGATTTAAATACCTTTGACATTTCCTTCATATATGCCAGCATTATGGATGCATTTAAGACTGTATTCGTAAGTAACTTCCTATTCATCCATGGAAACAACTTTTCGTATTCTTTATAATAGGCTTTACTGGAGTTGGATTTTACACGTACCAACGTGTGTTTAGATTTTACAACAATCGATTTAATGGACGGTGTATTATCTTTTTCAACGGAAATTGTTTAATTCACAAAGACGATGATTTTTATAAGCAAACGTCAAGTGACATTTCCATGGCAATCGTGAAATTACGAACACCCAGCCCACTTAATTAGACATGTATTCGAGTATAACGTCAATATGACTTCATTGTATTTCCTATTTTTAAATTATACTGCAGGTATAATAAAAAATACTATAAGATACACGTGTATAATTGGTCTTTAAAGCACTTGCAACGTTAAAGGCACTCCGCTTTGCGTCGTGCCCTTAAACTCGTTGCGCGTGCTTTAAAGACTTGATTATACACTTGTATCTTAATATACTATTTTCTACACCACTGCTAAAGTGGTACGTCATTGAAAAGAGAAAAAAAATCTCTATGAAATGAGCCTAATGAAAGTGTGCGTTACTATTTAAAAAAATTCAATTGTGTTTCGATATTTATTTGTTTTCTGAAATAAAAACAATGGAATGCTGTCTTATTATGGGAAATAAAATGCTAAACAAGTTTCATTTAGAAAAATTTTGTATACAGTCAATATTTACCGAGATATATACTATATTCCATACAAAATGGGCACTCTGTATAATAATAATATCACTGTATACAGTACAGCAACTGATGGAAACGAAAAGAACAAAAAATAGCAAGCAAACTCTGGAAAGCTCTGGGAGTTTCAGGCAAACTAATAGAGGCAGTCGAAAACCTGTACAGAAACAACAAAGTAGCCATCAAAACAGGAGCGAAAACAACAACAAATTTTGAAACAACTAAAGGCCTACTACAAGGTTGCTCCACATCACCTAGAGCACACCTTAAAACATTGGAAAGGAAAATGTGAAGGAATGGGAGTGCCAATAAGGCACAAGTTTTGCAGATGAACAAGTGGTTATTGTCCAAGACGAAGAAGATCTTAGTTTTATGACAAGTTAAAAGAAGAATATAAGGAAGGGGATCTAGTAATAGATGAAAACACGAAAATAAAGGCAGTAGAAAAGTTTAGATGTCTAGGTTACACTCTAACCAAAAATACAAGCACGAAAGAAAATCGAATATTTGGATAATTGGTGGAGAAGGTATTGTGGACTGACAAAGCAAGAAAGAATAAGGAATGAGGAAATAAGACAGAGAATGAAGGTGCAAACAGACGCCCTGAAATTCATAGAGGAGAAAAGACTCATGTGGTATGGACACGTTAAACCATGTAGTAGGAGCAGGTGGATTAACAGAGTGACGGATTGGAGCCCTACAGGTAGAAGGAAAAAGAGAAGACCTAGAAGACCGTGGAGAGATGAAGTCTTTTTGCAAAGAAAAGGGAACGCCTACTTGGAAATGGAACAAATTAGACCAGAGGAAGTAACGAGGGTGCGCCCTATCAAATCCTGGACTTTTTTAAGGATACAGTTATTGTTGAAGGCTAGACAATGGACCAAAAGGCCAAAAGGCTGCGACTACCCCTTAGTACCAGAGTTGGACTGGGTCACTGGCTCAACTGGGTCACTGGGTCGCTGGGTCACGTCATACTCTTTTCAGTTAGACCCAGTGACCCAGTTTGACCCAGTGACCCAACTTGACCCAATTTTGACTCAGTGACCCAGTTTGACCCAGTGACCCAGTTTGATCCAGTGACCCAGTTTGACCCAGCGACCCAATTTCACCCGGGGACCCAATTCGACCCAGTCACCTAGTTTGATCGAATAACGCAGTTAAGTCAGTGCCCTCGGTTCAAGTGTACAGATTATGCAATAAATGAAATGCTGGGTTGTTGAAAATAATACTCGATTGCTTGACAACTGCCATTTCTGTGATGTTTGCTGTAATACTGCCGTAAAAAACTTTCCATGTCCCGACTTGTATTAGAATAATGTCATTTCTTTGCTTCAGGGCTTACCAGTTTGCTTACAGGTGTTCATTCACATTTAATTTTTTTCTACTAGTTAGCTTAATCCAAATAAATCTTTTCGCTAAATACTGGGTCAAGATGGGTCACTGGGTCAAGCTGGGTCACCGGGTCAAGCTGGGTCACCGGGTCAAACTGGGTCAAGCTGGGTCACCGGGTCAAGCTGGGTCACTGGGTCAAACTGGGTCAAGCTGGGTCACCGGGTCAAGCTGGGTCACCGGGTCAAGCTGTGTCACCGGGTCAACTGGGTCACCGGGTCACTGGTTCACCGGGTCACTGGGTCAGTAAACTAACTGGGTCACCGGGTCACTCTATGCTTGACCCAATCCAACTCTGCTTAGTACTATAATAATAATAATAAATACTATTCTTTTATAAATGATTTTGCATGACCTCCTCTAAATATTTGGGTTTCATTTTCTGAAATATCAACACAATCTGGTACCTAAATGGGGAAACTTCCAAAATTTACTTATCAATTGGGTCAAAAATAAATTCCCTCAATTAAGCTACTATTGAAAGATAAATAATTATATTCTAATTACAATTCCTCTGTCTTTTTAAGTTGACATAATTGATTTAGTTCAGATGAAACCTCAATTACCAATAATAACAAATAAATGCCCCCCCCCCACCCGCCTATTTTTGCTTGGTAGTTTGTTTGAAAAAACTGTCACAACGTTTTTGGATGGAGCCCAACTCCGACGCTGGAAACAAAAAGCTTTAGCTGGAGACTTACAGAGATAGGGCTGACTTTCTGTTGCTTAGTCGCCTCACACGACACGCAGTGCCCTGTGCGCCAGGGTGATTATTTCCCACCCCTACACGTGTAGATCATACGTTCTCTTTCTTAGCAGAGTTGGTTGATTATTCAAACATTCCAAAACCATTACTAATTCGTTAATTTAATTAGACAAAACAGATATCAACGTCGTTAATTACGCATTAAATTTGAGCGAGCAGCATTTCAAAACGCATTAGCTATGGCGTAAGAGAATTGAATTTTATATTTCGATTATTGAGGTTGTTTTATTACTTTTCAATTTTGTGTATGTAAAAAAATTGTCCACGGAAAGTGGAAAGGGTGTAAGTGGTAGGGTGATAAGGGTTCTTCTATTCCATTTTGAACTATTTTTACTATGGATCATTACTTATGCTACTGGTAGTCTTCCTGGTTCCTCAATGTCGCTATTATGTCAACTCTTGCATTATGCCAAATATGAGTTTCAGGTGTATAATTTATGACCTGCAGGAATCTGTGAAAGGTGAAATTTTAGGGGATGATAACTGTAACGATCCAAATCTGCGCTGGCACCAAACTCAAAATTTGCTAAGTGCTTTACGCAGTTAATTTCATCAGAAAACTGAGTGACGCAAAATTCAAATAAATTCACAAAGCCAAGGTTTATTAATTTCGCAAAACGAATTATTTACCTATACGAAACGTGACCAACGTCTATAATTATCGACTAGTTTTGTCTTCCTGGAGAGATTTCCTCCCACGTACCTACAACGTACGTTCGGCAGGTAAAGGGCATGTTCGAGGTTAATCGAAAACTGGGTCAGGCGACGCGGCAATTTCTTCCGATTTCTCTACGGCCCAAATATTCTTTTAGGCAAAAGGTGGGTCAGAAAATTTAACCGTTTCGCTCCGTACGCGAAATTCGAGTGCTCCAGTTTTGCGTTTGTGGAAAGATGAGCCCCGCGAGAGTTTCAAGTGGGGCGTCGCGTTTCTGATTCACGGTCGGCAGGTGAGGTGAAAGAGAGGCGTCGTACACCAGGTGAGAGAGCTTCTGCATAAGGTCGTATTGATACCCTCGCGAGACAGGGGAATCGCGCGTTACAGTTTTTTTTTTCTCTCTCGAGAATTGCGGAATTAATTTTTTTTAAGGGAAGTGACCACAGTGATGAACGATAGTTTTGTTAAATCGCAAAAATCAGACCTAATTCGAAGGTAAGCCAAATTTTTGGTTGTTTTACCCCACTTTTTGTGAAGGATCAAATTTAGGTGAATCCCTCTTTAAAACGCCTGGAAATGCTCTTCCGCCAGTTAGAATGACAATTTCTATTTGTCGGAATTTCCGCGAGGAAAATACGCGGAAATTCCTATACGTAGCCTGAAAACTGCTCCAACTTGTAGTTTCAATTAACTTCGCAGACCATTCGCACTGTAAAATTTCAATTTCGTGCACTCCCCCATTTAATTTAAATTAAATTGCCAAGTAAAATGTTGATAGAATACGCCAACAAATAGAGATGCATATTACAAGCCTCATAAGTAGCATAAATAGAAATTTGCAAGCGACAATTAGTACCTATAGATTTCTATTTGATTAGACAGGCATTTGACATTTAAATCTCTTACAAACAAAATTGAGAATCTTCTCATCCCAAAATCGCGAACGCAAAAAAACTAAAGTTTCGCCCTACTTTTTTCGTTATTTGGTTTGTTTCCTAACACTCCTAACAAACTTTTGAAGTTGCTTATTGCATTTTGGTCCTTGATTAGCCTAGTCACGAACATGAATTCTGCTCAGTTTTAACGATCACTTTAAATCTTAATCCAAAACTAATTTAGTTGAGGAAACGGATAAACGACATGGCAGAGAAATAAAAGTCGCTGCTATTGGTAAACCTGACTATCCAATCAAATTAAATCAAATCAAATCAAAAACCCCTTTATTAGTTTTCTCAACCCCTGACGGTGGGTGCCGAAATTTCGCTAAAATCCATTCGTAAATTACGCGTATTTTTATAAAAATCTTCTATTACTAGGCACTCATCCACCTCCAGGGGTGGTTTTTCTTAATAGCGCATCAAATATTTTTATTTAATTGTTTGATTGTACTAAAATGCTCTGCCAACAACCCTGTATAGGGGCTAAAAGAGATCTACCCCTATCCGTTCGTAAATTACACGTATTTTTATAAACATTTTCCTTTACTCGGCACTCATCCACTTCAAGGGGTGGTTTTTTTAAGTAGCGCATCAAATATTTTTATGTATTTGATTGATTATAGAAAAAGGGACCACCAACAACCCTGTATAGGTGCTAAAAAAGATCTACCCCTATCCGTTCGTAAATTACACGTATTTTTATAAACATTTTCCTTTACTCCGCACTCATCCACTTCAAGGGGTTGTTTTTTTAAGTAGCGCATCAAATATTTTTATGTATTTGATTGATTATAGAAAAAGGGTCCACCAACAACCCTGTATAGATGCTAAAAAAATCTCCCCCTATCCGTTCGTAAATTACGTGTATTTTTATAAACATTTTCCTTTACTCGGCACTCATCCACTTCAAGGGGTGGTTTTTTTAAGTAGCGCATCAAATATTTTTATGTATTTGATTGATTATAGAAAAAGGGTCCACCAACAACCCTGTATAGATGCTAAAAAAATCTCCCCCTATCCGTTCGTAAATTACGTGTATTTTTATAAACATTTTCCTTTACTCCGCACTCATCCACTTCAAGGGGTGGTTTTTTTAAGTAGCGCATGAAATATTTTTATGTATTTGATTGATTATACTAAAAGGGTCCACCAACAACCCTGTGTAGATGCTCAAAAAAATCTACCCCTATTCGTTCGTAAATTACGTCTATTTTATAGAAAGACATCCTTTACTCGACACACATCCACTTCAAGGAGTGGTTTTTCTTAATAGCGCATCAGATATTTTTATTTATTTGACTGATTGTACTAAAAGGGTCCACCAACAACCCTGTGTAGATGCTCAAAAAAACCTACCCCTATTCGTTCGTAAATTAAGTGTATTTTATAAAAATAAATCCTTTACTCGGCACACATCCACTTCAAGGGGTGGTTTTTCTTAATAGCGCATCAGATATTGTTATTTATTTGACTGATTGTACTAAAAGGGTCCACCAACAACCCTGTGTAGATGCTCAAAAAAACCTACCCCTATTCGTTCGTAAATTACGTGTATTTTATAAAAATAAATCCTTTACTCGGCACACATCCACTTCAAGGGGTGGTTTTCTTTAAGTAGCGGATCAAATATTTTATGTATTTGATTGATTATATACTAAAAGGGTCCACCAACAACCCTGTATAGGTACTAAAAAAAATCTACCCCTATCCTTTTGAAAATTACGCGTATTTTTATAAAAATCTTCCATTACTATAGGCACTCATCCACTTCAAGGGGTGGTTTTCTTAAGTAGCGCATCAAATAGTTTAATGTATTTGATTGATTATACTAAAAGGGCCCACCAACAACCCTGTATAGGTACTAAAAAAAATCTACCCCTATCCTTTCGTTAATTACGCGTATTTTTATAATAATCTTCCATTACTTGGCACTCATCCAGTTCAAGGGGTGGTTTTTCTGAATAGCGCACCAAATATTTTTATGCGTTTGATTGATTATACCAAAAGGGTCCACCAACAACCCTATTTAGGTGCTAAAAAATCTACCCCAATCTGTTCGTAAATTACGTGTTTTTATATAAAAATCTTTCATTACTAGGCACTCATCCACATCAAGGGGTGGTTTTTCGTAGTAGCGCATCAAATATTTTTAGGTATTTGATTGATTATAGAAAAAGGGTCCACCAACTACCCTGTATAGGTGCTCAAAAAATCTACCCCTATCCTTCCGTAAATTGCGCGTATTTTTATAAAAAATTTTCTTTACTCGGCACTCATCCACTTCAAGGGGTGATTTTTCGTAGTAGCGCATCAAATATTTTTATGTACTTCATTGATATTACACTAAAAGGGTCATCCAACAACCCTGTATAGGCGCGAAAAAAATCTACCCCTATCGTTTCGTAAATTACGCGTATTTTTATAAAAATCTTCTATTACTCGGCACTCATCCACTTCAAGGGGTGGTTTTTTTAAGTAGCGCATCAAATGTTTTTATGCATTTGATTGATTATACTAAAAGAGGCCACCAACAACCCTGTATACGTGCTAAAAAAAATCTACCCCCCAATATACGAGACCTTCGATTATATTTCCTCCAATACCACAAGTATACAAATTTCATGCCATTTTGGGATTCTCCATTGGATCTCGATTTCTTTACTATAATAATCGCAAAAATCTTCATTTCTAAAAAATTGTCGAAATTTTTTACCAATGTCTTCAAAAACGAGCAGAAGCAGTGTTCATACTTCCCAAAAAAGTTCCAAAAAAGACGCTAAGATGGTTCTAAGAAGCACTTTTCTTCTGAAAAGCCTTTTTGTATTCTAGTCTGTTGTGATTTAAGTGCAACCGTTGTTTCTCCTTCTCGTCATCTTTTTTCTCATTTCGTTTCCGTCTATTTTTCCTTTCTCGTCCTCTAACCCCTCTTCATCGCTTTCTGATTCTCTTCCTCTTCCTTTTCCTTATAGTGATTTCGGAACGTGGTGCCTTGAAAACTTCCTATCGGGTTCAAGTAGGGGGTACTGTAACGTAGGAGCAGTTCGGGAATAGTGCAGGTTATCAAAATTCATTTTAAAACTGGCTTTTGCGTATACGTACGTCGAAACAAACTTGATGTACTAATAAACCAACGTCGATTTAGGACATGCCGGTGTAATGACGAGATCGTGAGGTCACAATCATGAATGAGCGTAACTGAATATGGCGAAAATCTCCGTTCTCGTTTGCTAGCGGATATGCAGGTGGCAAAAAAAATCGCATTTAAGGCCATACGGGCGGCTAGGTAATTGACCCGATTCATTCATTATCCTTAGCCATGCGTTACGAGAGTGTGAAATTACATTCATTGTAGTTTTTTTTTCGCATTATTTCATAATTAAAAATATCGTGATAGTCATTTGCTCGGGCCCGGATGTAGAATATGTTTCACGTTTCGAAAAGTGATATTCAAAAGTCGGTCACGCCTGATTCTTGTCACTTTTAAAACTGTAAATCGAAAAATTTAAGACACTTCAATCCGGTCGCTCGCGTAACGGTTTTTCTTTAATTATGTGGAACATATACCCAGTTACACTTCGCTGGAATGTTTTTACTTTTATGTCGTAGGTACCTCAAGGATGTAGTGGAGGTAAACTGAATAACGTGATTAGTATACCTTATGGAAATAGCGACAAACAATAGATTACTAAAGCTATTGAAAGTGTCGACAATTAAATGACAATGTAATAGTAATCGTCATGGTCATGGATTTGACATGATAATGACGATGTAAAACAATCACATACTTTCCCTTCAGTTCGCTACTGACTTACTGCACTTGGGACATTTTTTTAATTGTCGTTGGTCGGGTACCTACCATGGGTACCCAGTACCGTTATGAGTCCATGAAGGTTGAAGTTTTATTTCTAAACTGGAATTGCAATTGACAATTTTATGCAACAACTTCTTGTGGATAAGTTCGCTGAACCGTCTTTTTTATACGATCAAAATGGATTTTTGATTAAATGAACTTGTACTTCCACACTGGCCAAAATGGCAATAGAATGTTTTCTGGGTAAATTTAAGTGAAACCTGAAATAATCAACTCATCTAGTTTTCCAACTTGACTGATAACAGATTAATCTCTTCTTTTGGGAAAAGAACGTTCCATTATCTGACTTGAACACCACCCTTCCGTCAGTCAGCAATTTGGAAGGAGTCCACGAAGAAACCAAACACTCCCCGAGAACTGGCTGACTGCCCAAAAAAATTAGAAGAAAAAAAATGCCGTACAACCTCATGTACCTAAATGATGCAGAAAATAAAAACCGGAATTTTTATTTGTCTTTTGTTGTTTAAGGATTACATAGACTTCTTTACCCGCCCCTAACCCCGTGGAGGTCCCCGCAATCCTAACTTAGGTTTTTATTTTTGACTTAATTTTGTTCTCTGAATTTTGCTGCAATACTCGCCAAATAGACTTCCAGTAATTTTGTGTTCTAAAATTTGATTTTTGATAATGGGTCATTCGTGGCTCTCTCAAAGTATCGCGTACCAAAAATAAGACATGCAATCATTAAAAAAAACAGTAAAATGTATCAAAAGATGGAGACTTACTCAAAATCGTCGCCTTGTTTTTGATGGCCTGCACTCTTCAACAGGTAAGTCCTCCACTATTGGTGGATAGTCGTAGTCGTCCTCCATAGATACAGTATTGATTGAATAGTCAGGGTTGTCTTGTGGATCGTCATCGTGGTCCTCTTCGATGATGATAAGGGCAGCATTCTGGCACGTTTCCCCAGAGCAAATAGCCTTGCTTGCGAGAACATGCAGTCACCTCTGTATCCATTCTTGCATTAAAAAAAAGAAGTTTTATGAGCGGGGGGGGGGGGCATCTGGATGAAGGAAAATTCTTGTTTCGTTCCCTAGGGCTTGTCTGTCTGACGTCGCCCCATGTTCTCCCTCAAAACATTCAGCCCTAAGCACTTTTGTGGTATTTTTTCACAAAAGACTATAAAACCTTGGTTTCCTAGCAAGTATTCTTTACTTCAAGAGCTCCTAGTGTTACTTTTTATGGTCCCTGACATTCATGATAATGTTTTGGTAATTCTGGGGAGTATTTCATACCCTCAGACCACCCCGGTGCTACGTTCTCCCTCAAAACATTCAGCCCTAAGGACTTTTGTGGGTTTTTTTCACAAAAGACTACGAAACCTTGGTTTCCTGGCAAGTATTCTATACTTCAAGAGCTCCTAGTGTTACTTTTTATGGTCCCTGACATTCATGATTTTGTGGTATTTTTTCACAAAAGACTATAAAACCTTGGTTTCCTAGCAAGTATTCTTTACTTCAAGAGCTCCTAGTGTTACTTTTTATGGTCCCTGACATTCATGATAATGTTTTGGTAATTCTGGGGAGTATTTCATACCCTCAGACCACCCCGGTGCTACGTTCTCCCTCAAAACATTCAGCCCTAAGGACTTTTGTGGTTTTTTTCACAAAAGACTACGAAACCTTGGTTTCTTGGCAAGTATTCTACACTTCAAGAGCTCCTAGTGTTACTTTTTATGGTCCCTGACATTCATGATAATGTTCTGGTAATATTGGGGAGTATTTCATACCCTCAGACCACCCCAGTGCTACGTTCCCCTCCAAAACATTCAGCCCTAAGGACTTTTGTGGTATTTTTTCACAAAAGACTACAAAACCTTGGTTTCTTGGCAAGTATTCTACACTTCAAGAGCTCCTAGTGTTACTTTTTATGGTCCATGACATTCATGATAATGTTCTGGTAATATGGGGAGTATTTCATACCCTCAGACCACCCCGGTGCTACGTTCTCCCCCGGAACATTCAGCCCTAAGGACTTTTGTGGTATTTTTTCACAAAAGACTACGAAACCTTGGTTTCCTGGCAAGTATTCTATACTTCAAGAGCTCCTAGTGTTACTTTTTATGGTCCCTGACATTCACGATTATATTTTGGTAATACTGGGAAGTATTTCATACCCTCAGACCACCCCGGTGCTACGTTCTCCCTCAGAACATTCAGCCCTAAGGACTTTTGTGGTATTTTTTCGCAAAAGACTACAAAAGCTTGGTTTCCTGGCAAGTATTCTACACTTCAAGACCTTCTAGTGTTACTTTTTGTGGTCCCTGACATTCATGGTTATATTTTGGTAATTCCGGGGAGTATTTCATACCCTCAGACCACCCCGGTGCTACGTTCTCCCTCAAAACATTCAGCCCTAAGGACTTTTATGGTATTTTTTCACAAAAAACTACAAAACCTTGGTTTCTTGGCAAGTATTCTATACTTCAAGAGCTCCTAGTGTTACTTTTTATGGTCCCTGACATTCATGATAATGTTCTGGTAATACTGGGGAGTATTTCATACCCTCAGACCACCCCGGTGCTACGTTCTCCCCCAGAACATTCAGCCCTAAGGAGTTTTGTGGTATTTTTTCACAAAAGACTACAAAAACTTGGTTTCCTGGCAAGTATTCTATACTTCAAGAGCTCCTAGTGTTCCTTCTTATGGTCCCTGACATTCATGATTATATTTTGGTAATTCTGGGGAGTATTTCATACACTCAGACCACCCCGGTGCTACGTTCTCCCTCGGAACATTCAGCCCTAAGGACTTTTGTCGTATTTTTTCACAAAAGACTACAAAACCTTGGTTTCTTGGCAAGTATTCTATACTTCAAGAGCTCCTAGTGTTACTTTTTATGGTCCCTGACATTCATGATTATATTTTGGTAATACTGGGGAGTATTTCATACCCTCAGACCACCCCGGTGCTACGTTCTCCCCCAAAACATTCAGCCCTAAGGACTTTTATGGTATTTTTTCACAAAAGACTACAAAACCTTCGTTTCTTGGCAAGTATTCTATACTTCAAGAGCTCCTAGTGTTACTTTTTATGGTCCCTGACATTCATGATAATGTTCTGGTAATACTGGGGAGTATTTCATACCCTCAGACCACCCCGGTGCTACGTTCTCCCCCAAAACATTCAGCCCTAAGGACTTTTGTGGTATTTTTTCACAAAAGACTACAAAACCTTGGTTTCTTGGCAAGTATTCTATACTTCAAGAGCTCCTAGTGTTACTTTTTATGGTCCCTGACATTCATGATTATATTTTGGTAATATGGGGAGTATTTCATACCCTCAGACCACCCCGGTGCTACGTTCTCCCCGGAACATTCAGCCCTAAGGACTTTTGTGGTATTTTTTCACAAAAGACTACAAAACCTTGGTTTCCTGGCAAGTATTCTATACTTCAAGAGCTCCTAGTGTTACTTTTTATGGTCCCTGACATTCATGATTATATTTTGGTAATATGGGGAGTATTTCATACCCTCAGACCACCCCGGTGCTACGTTCTCCCCCAAAACATTCAGCCCTAAGGACTTTTGTGGTATTTTTTCACAAAAGACTACGAAACCTTGGTTTCCTGGCAAGTATTCTATACTTCAAGAGCTCCTAGTGTTACTTTTTATGGTCCCTGACATTCATGATAATGTTCTGGTAATACTGGGGAGTATTTCATACCCTCAGACCACCCCGGTGCTACGTTCTCCCTCAGAGCAATCAGTCCTAAGGACTTTTGTGGTATTTTTTCACAAAAGGCTACAAAACCTAGGCTTCCTGAGAAGTATTCTATACTTACGAGCTCCTAGTGTATTTAATCTCTGGAACCTCCAGATTCTAGTGAATCTACTGAACCACCTGAAGCAACCAAATCTCCTGAATCACCCCTTGCATCCCTTGAGTCTATGGAACCATTTCTTGAATACCGAAAAGATAAAATATAATGCAGTTCAAAATTAGAGAATAATAATACGTACAGATGAAGTCCACAGAGTAATTTTGTACAATTATTTACAGCTCAAGATGAGGACAATACTTTTAATCTTCCTACACGTATCTCTATCAATCGGACTCGATTCCTCGCCCAGTCTCGGTCCGAACGTGGAACAACTATCTCCAATCTACTACACCAACAAAACGTCCGAGCCTCGCAACTACCAATCGAGTGCCATACAGAATTACAACGTCGAGATTCCAAATGAACCCTACACCATAGGCTTCCAATATCACAATTACGAGCAGATGACGAAATTCCTGCGGGCGACGACGTCCAGATTTCCAACCCTCACCGCTCTGTACTCCATTGGAAAATCCGTACAGGGCAGAGATCTATGGGTCATGGTGGTTTCGGCGTCACCGTACGAGCACATGATCGGCAAACCAGACGTGAAGTACGTCGCCAATATGCACGGCAACGAGGCGATCAGCCGCGAGTTGATGTTGCACTTAATTCACGTGAGTGGCGGATAGAGCCCCGAGGTGAAGCTTAAGTTTGTTTTGCAGCACTTGGTCATGAGCTACTCCAGCGACCCTTACATTAGATGGCTGTTGGACAACACCCGCATTCACATCTTACCCTCGATGAATCCCGACGGATTCGAGGTGGCGAAAGAGGGTACCTGCGATGGTGGACAGGGGAGGTACAACGCGCGAGGTTTCGATTTGAACCGCAATTTCCCCGACTACTTCAAGCAGAACAACAAGCGCACCCAGCCCGAAACCGACGCGGTTAAGGAATGGATTTCGAAAATTCAATTCGTCCTGTCCGGAAGTCTGCACGGTGGCGCTCTGGTCGCGAGCTATCCGTTTGACAACACACCAAACTCGCGTAAGTGTTCTCGGCAATTTCCAAAAGTCAACAATGAATTTTGGCCTTCGAGAAATTCACTGTTGATTATTCCACCACTGTATCTTAGTTGTTTATGCTGCAAGGAATATGCAGATCATCGGCGTTGTGCTCCTGTAAGTGCCTGCGGATCGTACACGTTTAAAGGGCGGGTAGTTTTATTAACCAATTACCTGTTGCAGTGTTCCAGAACTATGCAGCGCCATCTCTAACACCGGACGACGACGTTTTCAAACACCTAGCCTTAATTTACGCGACTAACCATGCCAAAATGAGTAGAGGTGTCGCGTGTAAGTCTTCCACGCCAGGATTCAAGCAAGTGAGTCCTCCACCTTCGGCTAGTAATACTTTCAAAAGCACCTGGTTTAGGGTATCACCAACGGAGCGGCGTGGTACCCCCTGACCGGAGGCATGCAAGACTTCAACTACGTCTGGTACGGTTGCATGGAGGTCACCTTGGAGGTGTCATGTTGTAAATACCCACCAGCTCAAGAGATCCCCCGCTACTGGGAGGACAACAAAATGGTAGGTGGACCGTTGCGCGGCTGAAGTCTTAGAGTTGCGCTTTTCAGTCGTTAATCAAATTCCTATCGGAAGCTCATAGGGGAGTTCACGGTTTTGTAATGGACGAGGGAGGCAGTCCCATCGAGAAGGTATCGTTGAAGATCAAGGCGCGCGATATCGGTTTTCAGACGACACGCTACGGTGAGTTTTGGCGAATTCTTCTGCCGGGAATGTACAAGCTGGAAGTAAGTGGACGGCGTTGCCGATTCTGGAATAACTTTATCTCCAGGTGTATGCTGATGGATTCGTGCCGCGAGAAATTGAGTTTATGGTTGTGAATGATCATCCGACATTATTAAATGTTACTTTATACCCGGCTAAGGTAAGTCTTGTAAGTTGAAACGTTTATATCTGGAGATCTAAGTGGTTTAACCGGTTTAAAATACTAAACCATGCACTTCTACCTGTATATTTGCACAAAAGAAACCTCCAAAAATTACAGGATGTGTGGATCCAGATGGCAGTGGTGGGGGATAGCGTTGATGAATAGCAGGAGTTTCAAACCGCTTCTGATTCTTCTAGGCCTCTAGCTCTTTGGAACTTGTCAGTTTCCTCGATTTTCTCGCCTCCTTCTACTTCGCTGGCTTCTTCAACATCATTCCGGCATTTTGACTAGGTACCACTTTCCGTCACCCTCAGCTTCCTTGCTCAACTTTCTCGGGGCCACCACTTCCTCTCCTTATTCGGCCTCTTCCGTTGCGTCGACTTCTCCAGCTTCTTCGATATCCTTTACTGTCAAACATATTTCACTATTTGAACCATCTTCGACTACTTCACCAAAGACCTCGACTTCAGTGTCTTTTCCCCGATCTCCTTCTTTTCGTGTTATTTTTCGGTTTATTCATCATTCATGGCGACTTCAGGTTCACAATTCTTCGTCTTCCGTCTACGTTGATTATTTTGGCTTCTTTGACCTCTCTTGGAACCCTTTAGTTTTACCTTTTTTTCTTAAATTTTTGGGAATTCCTTGACTGCTTTGTCTTTTTTGGCCAAAAGTGTCCATGAACTTGGCAGGCCTACTACAGCAGACCATGGTTCTGCTTACTCATATCGTTAGTGTTCCGTTAGTGCCGCTGAAGAAATCGTTAGTGCACAAAAGGAAACTTACTATTTTTAAAAAATATTTGTGGGCCTGCTAACTTCATGCCAGCAGACCCATTTGAGAAAATCGATGCAATCTTTGCACTAGTTAAACTGGCAGCGTTCGTGCTCGTTAGTGCCGCCAATATAAACGTTAGTGCTCAAAGTGTAACAGCTCAACACGTTGAAAAAAGGGGTCTGCTAACTTCATGCAGCAGACCCACATTTGTTAAATTGGCCCTGTCCTAATGCGAATTTGAAGCAGCTCGTTAGTGCTCATTAGTGCTTCACATGCGAACGTTAGTGCCGGAAGGGATCCTCACCAAACCACCTCAAAATTAAACGTGGCTTATTGGGACCTGCCAACTTCACGCCGGTATACCAACAAACGAAATCCGTTTGGTTTTCTACTTTAATCGATCAATCAGTATTAGTGTTCGTTAGTGTCGCAAGAAAAAGCGTTAGTGCTCAAAGCGCAACAGCTCAAGATGTGAAAATATGAGTTTGCTTTGTGAATAACTATATAACGATTAAATTAGTGATGTCTTTATTAGCTCTGGTTTCTATTTCTGACGTTTACAAGTGAAGTCCTAACGAGCACTAACTTTAGATTCGCATTAAAGCAGGGCCACTTTAATAAATGTGGGCTTGCTGCATGAATTTAGCAAACCCATAATTTCACGCTTGAGCTCTTGCGCTTTGAGCACTAACTTTTTTTTGCGACACTAACAATCACTAATAGTGATAGATCGATTAAAGTAGCAAATCAAACGGATTTCGTTTGTTGGTCTACCGGCGTGAAGTGGGCAGGTCCCAATAAGCCACGTTTAATTTTGAGGTGGTTTGGTACCTTTTTAACGCGGATCCCTTGCAGCACTAACGTTCGCATGTGAAGCATTAACGAGCTGCTTCAAATTTGCATTAGGACAGGGCCAATTTGACAAATGTGGGTCTGCTGCATGAAGTTAGCAGACCCCTTTTTACAACGTTTTGAGCTGTTACACTTAACGTTTATATTGCCGGCACTAACGAGCACTAACGCTGCTAGTTTAACTAGTGTAAAGATTGCATCGATTTTCTTAAATGGGTCTGCTGGCCTGAAGTTAGCAGGCCCACAAATATTTTTTTTTAAATAGTAACTTTCCTTTTGTGCACTAACGATTTCTTCAGCGGCACTAACGTGCACTAACGGAACACTAACGATATGAGTAAGCAGAACCATGGTCTGCTGAGTAGGCCTGCCAAGTTCATGGACATGTGTAAGTCTTCAAAGCAAACCTTCCAAACAAAATATCCTTCTGAAAGAACAGCAAAAGGCTTCTCTTCGGATAGCTGCCTCTTTAACATCTCGAGTATCGTTCACTTCACTAGATCTCCCCAATATTCCTCTAACGGAGGACAGAGTACTATACTACCTGATCGTAGCCTTTTGGAATTTTTTGCTTCCTTGACTTTCTCGGCTCCTTAGGTTTCTCCCTCCCTTGTTTTTTTGTCTTTTTCTGCTTCTTCGGCATCCTTCTCTTTTCAGTGACTGGGGGCATTCTTGTCTTCTTCAATTGAGTATTCCACGTCCATTTTGCGGTTTCGTCATTTTTATCGGTTCGCTGGGCTCCAAGTCAGAAGACCTTTGGTGTTCTTCCTCGGCTTGTTCATTATATTTGGGCTCTCCAGGTTCAATAGTCAACACTCTGTTAATTCCTCTGATTTTTCGACTTCTTCCGATCTTTAGTCTGCCTTCGCTTCCTGGGTCTCTTCAGTTCCGCCGCCTTCTTCCACTTTCCTCCCTCCCTCCGTCTCTTTTTAGTACTTCAACAGCTACTTCGATTTCTCCGACTACCTTGGCTTCTTTCTCGACTCCTGATATTTCTATTCTATTCTATTTATAATGGGAGCCCGACCAGACTGCACTTAGGCACACCAAAGGTCCATTGTTCCTAACCCCTTTCTTTGGCAACTGGGTTCTGAGCCCGTTACCTACTCTCAATAATGGATAGGATGATAGGCTCGTTCCCGAAGAAGACCTTAGCACTCCGGATTAACGAAGAGGCTATGGCTATGGAGGAGCCCGTCTAGCACCAGGCACCACAGCAGTGAAGACAACACTCTACTCTGCGGACATCCTACCGTAACCGACGAGCCGATTGAGAATATATTGACTGCTCCCAAGCATGGCGCGGATCTTACGAAGTTTTTGAACTTCAGGAAGACCCTCCATGTTACCACAGAAGGTCTTCGTTTACACCTGGCTAAGCGGTCTTAAGATCTTCCCAGTCTGAGGGCTTAAAAAGCCTGCGAACCTTCTTAGGAACCTTTTCAAGGCCTGTGTTCCACCAAGGTGTTCTCTTCGTTCTTCGAAAGGTCCGGAGGTTACAGCTGTTCTAATATGACGCTGTTTACTAATGCAGCCCCCTCTTCCGCCTGCTCTGCTTTCCGACAGAGCAAAGGTGGCTCTCACCGTTTTGCCACATAGCCCAGTCCTACAGGCTACAAGGACAACCTCCTTCCCCCGCGCTGTGCCGAGAGTAAGGGCTGCTCCCTAATTTAAATCGTTCCAATCAGTTGTTTCCAAGTACCTACTCCTGAAGGTGGTCGCTCTTCGAGTTCGTGTCCGTACTGGTCCACACAACATGGTGTGCGTTTGCTTCACAGCCAACCACAAGAGGGCGCCCACCAAATAAAAAATTTCGACTGTACCCTCAGCCTGGTAGGTGAAGCCCCTTTCGAGTCGCACGGAAAATGCCTGCCCTATTACCGATGGGGGCCCGGCTTGTTGTTCCACCTGACGAGCACCCCACAAAGGGGGATTATGGTCCATACAATTCCCACGAGGAGTGGAGATACACTCTCACCTGGACACAGTTGCCTGCCCCAGGGCTTGGCTGTCAGCCCCTTCCCGAAGAAAAGGTGCCATCATTCAGAGTTCGCCTTGTATCCGAGGGACACCGTTATCGGCACGGTCACTTTACGATCATTCAGGTGTCTGTGCGGGCACGGGTCATGCAACACATAAAATTGCATTTATTAGTCGCCTCTTACGACATGCAGTGCGCCGGCCCCTACGTGGGTAAAAATAAAAACATGTTCAAAGCGTTTACGATAAACTCAAATAACATACTAACAATGTAAATAGTGTAATATATTGGTCTCGGTGTGCTCTTTTTCAGTACGGCGTCATGTATCCAAAACCTGTGACTTCTCCCTCAAAAAGTATGATAGCGCCGGTACCTCCGCCACCCTCCGACGTTGACATAACTTTCCCACAAGACTAATCTGTAGCAAATTACCTCCTATTGTAAGTACTCTTCTTTCGCTTGCTTGTTTAGAGCCTCCATCCCATTAATTATCTAACCGCATCGCGTCGTCGCAATGTATCCTACTGTCTCTATTTCTAGCGTAAAGATGGCGCTTATTACCGTCCACATCCACCGCCGCACTTTCAACAACACGGACCACAGCACCAATCACCGCACCATCCGAAAGAGGCAAATGGAATAATTTCGTCGATTTCGAGCGGTTTCAACAACCTCTTTGGAAACATATTTGGATAATAACAAAACCAGTTTTAGTTTCAATAGCCCGTTGCGTATAGTCCGAAGGAAATGATCTCTACATAATATACAAATGCATTTATGAAATTTTAATTTATTGATGGGCTACGCGAGCCTCAAGCCTGTAGAAAAAAAAATTGTGAAAATAAAGTTATTTATTTACTTTGCAGTTATTCAATATGTCCTCTATTTAATTTTTGATTATATTCATTCTGAACACCCTGTAAGTAGTTCTCCTTTCCTATGTGAAATATCTCCTAAGGCCGCTTCTACATAATCTTCCTATAAAATTCCTAAGATTGTTACCTGGGTTCTGGTAATAAAATTTCCTACATTGTAATGGAGAGCCCTATAACGCTGGTGTGTAACCAGAGCTGGGTAGTATTCGATTTTGTAAATACTTTTTAGTATTCAAATCCTTTAAAGTAAAGTATTCAAATACTTTGTAATTAAATACTTTTATGGAAGCAGTATTTGTATTTGTAACTCAAATACTTTCACAAATATTTAGTATTCGAATACTTCGCAAGGTATTTGAATACTTAACTTCCCAATCATAAGTTATAGAGTAGAAACTAATTTCGAGAGAAAATTCAAAGGGCTGTAACTTTTGAACTAGTAGCCCAACCTTGGAACTGTTTGAAATTATGGATTCTACAGGCCACAGTCTATAAGAAAATTTTTTTCCGGGTCGATCTGAGACAATTTTTTTTTCGGGCCTCAAAAAAAGGCAGTGTATAACCTTCCTTTTTTACCAAAAATCGACTGCACCAAAATTTCCTGGGAAACACTTTTTCTTATTAATTTTGGTGCGTAGAATCCAAAACAATTCGTACTTTTTCGATCAGACTTCTCAATCAAAAGTTATAGACTAGAAACCAATTTCGAAAGAAAATTCAAACGGCTGTAACTTTTGAACTAGTAGCCCAATCTTGGAACTGTTTGAAATTATGGATTCTACAGGCCACATTCTATAAGAAAATGTTTTTTCCGGGTCGATCTGAGACAATTTTTTTTTCGGGGCTCAAAAAAAGGCAGTGTATAACCTTCCTTTTTTACCAAAAATCGACTACACCAAAATTTCTCGGGAAAACACTTTTTCTTATTAATTTTGGTGCGTAGAATCCAAAACAATTCGTACTTTTTCGATCAGACTTCTCAATCAAAAGTTATAGACTAGAAACCAATTTCGAAAGAAAATTCAAAGGGCTGTAACTTTTGAACTAGTAGCCCAATCTTGGAACTGTTTGAAATTATGGATTCTACAGGCCACATTCTATAAGAAAATTTTTTTCCGGTCGATCTGAGACAATTTTTTTTTCGGGCCTCAAAAAAAGGCAGTGTATAACCTTCCTTTTTTACCAAAAATCGACTGCACCAAAATTTCTCGGGAAAACACTTTTTCTTATTAATTTTGGTGCGTAGAATCCAAAACAATTCGTACTTTTTCGATCAGACTTCTCAATCAAAAGTTATAGACTAGAAACCATTTACGAAAGAAAATTCAAATGGCTGTAACTTTTGAACTAGTAGCCCAATCAAGGAACTGTTTGAAATTATGGATTCTACAGGCCACATTCTATAAGAAAATTTTTCTTCCGTGTCGATCTGAGACAATTTCTTTTCCGAGCCTCAAAAAAAGGCAGTGTATAACCTTCCTTTTTTACCAAAAATATACTACACCAAAATTTCTCGGGAAAACACTTTTTCTTATTAATTTTGGTGCGTAGAATCCAAAACAATTCGTACTTTTTCGATCAGACTTCTGAATCAAAAGTTATAGATTAGAAACCAATTTCGAAAGAAAATACAAACGGCTGTAACTTTTGAACTAGTAGCCCAATCTTGGAACTTTTTGAAATTATGGATTCTACAGGCCACATTTTTCTTATTAATTTTGGTGCGTAGAATCCAAAACAATTTCTTTTTCGGCGCTCAAAAAAAGGCAGTGTATAACCTTCCTTTTTTACCAAAAATCGACTGCACCAAAATTTCTCGGGAAAACACTTTTTCTTATTAATTTTGGTGCGTAGAATCCAAAACAATTCGTACTTTTTCGATCAGACTTCTCAATCAAAAGTTATAGACTAGAAACCAATTTCGAAAAAAAATTCAAAGGGCTGTAACTTTTGAACTAGTAGCCCAATCTTGGAACTGTTTGAAATTATGGATTCTACAGGCCACATTCTATAAGAAAATTTTTTTCCGGGTCGATCTGAGACAATTTTTTTTTCGGGCTCAAAAAAAGGCAGTGTATAACCTTCCTTTTTTACCAAAAATCGACTGCACCAAAATTTCTCGGGAAAACACTTTTTCTTATTAATTTTGGTGCGTAGAATCCAAAACAATTCGTACTTTTTCGATCAGACTTCTCAATCAAAAGTTATAGACTAGAAACCAATTTCGAAAGAAAATTCAAACGGCTGTAACTTTTGAACTAGTAGCCCAATCTTGGAACTGTTTGAAATTATGGATTCTACAGGCCACATTCTATAAGAAAATTTTTTTCCGAGTCGATCTGAGACAATTTTTTTTTCGGGCCTCAAAAAAAGGCAGTGTATAACCTTCCTTTTTTACCAAAAATCGACTACACCAAAATTTCTCGGGAAAACACTTTTTCTTATTAATTTTGGTGCGTAGAATCCAAAACAATTCGTACTTTTTCGATCAGACTTCTCAATCAAAAGTTATAGACTAGAAACCAATTTCGAAAGAAAATTCAAAGGGCCGTAACTTTTGAACTAGTAGCCCAATCTTGGAACTGTTTGAAATTATGGATTCTACAGGCCACATTCTATAAGAAAATTTTTCTTCCGGGTCGATCTGAGACAATTTTTTTTCGGGCCTCAAAAAAGGCAGTGTATAACCTTACTTACAGAAATTATCTGAACGATAACGGAGACTGATTTAAAAGCAACCCCACTCCTTTCCCATTTGTGAAAAATATTACTCCGAAGTCTCTTACATTATATATACTCTCGCTAGGAAAGATTAAAGTCTTTTCGTTCAACATTGACACGATACTAACCCGGACGTTGCTCGCATCTTAAGAAAAACGTAGATTGTAGACCGAGATCAGGTCTTCTGTGATCGGCAATCTTTCCTGGCGAGAGGTTTATACGAAATACATTGTTAAATAGCCGGGTCTTCTCCAGTCCCGAATGTATCTGAAGGTCTTGGATACGGTAACCTCCGCCCTAGAAAAACAGTTGAAGTGAAGAATTACAATTACAACTAAGCCCATTACCTTTTGTTAGAACAAACTATACTGACTGGATGCAGAAAGCAACAGTGACGCTAAGGAGAAGAGGGTTGCTCAGAACGCCCCCCGATTTTACCTTTAACGCGAGAATGTCAAAGTAACGTTTTTTTTGCAAGTTTTTTGATCTCCCCACTCCCTCACGTTACGCTCAAATCGTTAGATTATTGAAATGCACACTTTTCGACACTTAGTCAACCCACCTTACTTTAATCTGACCCGCCCAAAATCCCCTATTGAGCTCCCCTACCGTATTTGTTTATTTATAATTAGAAATTCAGAAGTATATGAAGTACCACAAACACTTACAGACTATTTTTCGAAGAAGCCTAACTCAGAATCTATCAGACCTACAGTAGATTTTCATAAAAGCAAATACAAAAAATTTTATTGACAAAATTGAATACAGATCACTGAAGTACACAAACGGCCGTATTAGTGTTACGATTATGCACCCGTTTTACCTTAGGACGTTTACTATCGACAGCGGTCGGCGGTACCAGCCGAGCCTTTACGACCGGCTGCTGCTGCTCTCTCGCCACTTTCGACAAATGCACTCCCAAGTACTTCGCTATAAGCTCCATCATACTCGAATAAAGCTAAAAATTCGACCTGTCAGATTCTCATCCACCGACCGCGCTTTATATCTTACGTATTCTCCGGTTCTGGCAGAGACCGGGGAATTCTGTAGGTTGCACTGTTGAAAGAACGGTTGAATTCGATCGGTGCGAATCGCTCGTTGATGCTCGAGGTCGCCTGCAACCGAGCGCGTGAGTAAAGCAACCGAGAGGATGACTTACATTTGTTTCCGAAGGCGGCCGAGAGCACTGGATTGGTGATCGTTGCTGAGACCGTTTCCATCCACAATGGTAAAGATTCGAAAGAAGGCGAATTTGTTATGTCGTAAACAAAGACTATTATCTACAAAAAGTCATACTTGTTGACTCTACAAGCGGAAAAACTACGAAGGCGTATAAGGGTTACATGTAGATTTTATAGCAGTGAGAGTTGACTAACAAAAATAATAATACTAAATGTCTTTATTGATTAGCAGTTCTACATTTGCATATATCAATTGAGTGCAAGTTCAAATTTGTAAGGTAAAACCTAATCTGATATTCTACTTTAACCCTAAAAACTTTATGAAGGCATCCATCAGTTAGGTACAAACAGAAAGAACAAAAAAATGGGACGCAGAGCACGGAATGAAATGAAGTTCAAAACAGATATAACAATATTGTTTCCGTGGAAACGGCAGAAGCTAGCCTGCCATTTATGACGTCTTAAGTTGCCAAATTAAAATCATAGAACCCTCCCACATCCTTGCAGAAAACTTACATTGATATTGTACAAATATTTATCCAACATCGATCCGGTAAGCTCCTGACCTCCAATGTCCGAAATAATCAACGTAACATCCTGTCGGCCGGGCAAGACGAGATGTTTGGTGTAAAAGTCCGCGCCGACGGTCGGCGTCGATTGGCGCGTAAACTCGTCCTGGCAAAACCGTTTAATTATGCTCGTCTGCAATGAAAACTGGGTACAATACGCGCGTTACACATTCGTTAATACCTTTCCCACGCTTGAATCTCCAAGAAAGGCGATTTTAAGCTGCCTTTCAACGGACTCCTCTTCGGAATCTGACATTATTGAATCAGCATAACAAAGACTGAGCTGTTGAGTGCTAATTTAAATGCGGCGCTCACATGAGATTTTTCGCTATAAAAGGAAAACACGGTCATGTTGCGGTCATAGTAAGCCACAAGAGCGATTGGAAAAGATGCAGTGCAGTAGAGATGTAATTTTGGTAACCTTCCTCCTGGTGTTGCATCAAACTTTGGTTTTCGGCTGTTTAATTACAAACTGCCCCAGAGGCGGGAAAAGAGGTGGGAAGTTAGCTTTGGAAACCAACATCAAGCAGGTGAGGGTGCTTTTAGTCGGGTTTCTAATGAGCTGGTAGTGTGTTTCATGCGGACCCGGGCAAAGTGGGCAGTGTTTCGGGCCCCACATATGCTGCGGCCCTTTCGGGTGCCTGATGGGCACTGCGGAGACGACGGTTTGTAAGCGCGACGGCTACTTCCACGAATTAGAGCCTTGCATTGCTGGCAGCATGTCATGCAGAAGAAACATGGGGAGGTGTGCAACAGATGGCTTGTGCTGTGATCAAGGTATCATTTTTAAAGGTAAAATATGCATAATTTCAAAATTAATTTTCCAGATTCGTGCCATGTGGACAGACTGTGTGCGTCCGACGAAAAAATCAGAGCAAGAGGTAATATCGAGCCCTTAGAGCTGTTCAAATTAATTAACTATCAAGCGCCCGAATACAATTCGGAATAATCGAAAGGGGAAAAACGCACTGTACTTACATTTATTATTAATAACAATAAAGCTCAATGAATTTTACCAATCACTACATCTAAGATTTCGTGTACCTACTGTTTAAACTAACAATCAATGGGTCATTGTGATTCATTCAATGGTCACTATGGCAATGACTGGTCAATACAAATAAGTCTTACGCATATAATTATAGAACCAATTTCATTACTAAAACATCGACATTTATTTATAACGTTTTGTGAATATTCCTTACAACTAATTAGAGGAAAATTGAAGAGTTCCAGAAATTAAGTGGTAGAATACAAGTAACAGGTGAAGTAAGTACCTGCTAATGCAAAAGTGAATGTTAACTAAAAAAAATGTGTAACTGCTAGGGGGCGTGTTTTATGTTCATGTATACTGGGTGTCAACGAATCTATTAAACACGCCATAATTTCTAGAGTACCCATATTAGAGGTGTATCAAAATTAGATTTGGTACCGGTAAATGGTGCAGTGGAGAGGAGTTTTCGCATATTTTTCTCATTCCGCTCGAAATGGTCGGGGTTTTGAATTTTTAAATGGAACATCCTGTATACTTTTATATTTTTGGATAAAAATAATAAATGAATATCGTTAGATTCGTCAAAAAATTCTTTATTCAGAAAGTGTTTGTCAAAAAAGGGTTGCCATTTGAAAATACTCTAGAAATTATGGCTTGTCTAATAGATTCGTTGACACCCTGTATAAGGTGGCAGGTAGACCCTATTAGCATATAATGAGTCAAAGAAATAAAACTAGTTAATGGACTGCGGTGGATAACTCCTAAGGCAACGCGAGTATTTGTGGTAAAAAAATACGTTTAGTTGATACATTTGAATCTTCATATACAGGGTGTCCCATTTTTGACACTGTTATAGATTATCTCCGTAGCGCTATTAAATTATAATATATGCGTCATGTGCCCTTTTTGGGTCAAACTTAAAACGGTAAAATCAAAATTTAAACACTTTCGTCCCCTTAAGAGATACGGGGGATAGTCAAAGAGTTGCCTATTTCAGAATGACCCCGTATTTTCTTAGTTAATTGAGATAACAAAAATGTTTCTTACAAGAGCTTCTTTGTAAAGTTGAATAATCTGCGGGGTTATAAAAGTTATCGGACTTAACCCCATTTTTTTTAATGGAACGCCCTGTATATTTTAATCTGAAAAATACTTTTTTTCACAAGTATAACACACCTGAGATATTCCAATAAGATTTAAGTGGTTCAAAAAAAATCAAAAAAGGCTCAAAAAGATTTTTGAATTCTTTTAATTTTCTTTATAGATTAAAATATACAATATGTTCGATTTAAAAAAAATTAATCATGAAATCGCCAGGAGCTCGTTAATAACGTTTAGGTTCGATAGCTTTTTCATCTGGCCTCGTATACTTATTTTGAAAAAGGGCACATTATTCAACAATTATTATAAAGACAGTTTTGTGATAACTATTTTTCTGTATCTATACAGGGTGATTCAAATTCGAGGGCCACCATGGGGATCTCGGGAACTGTAAGAGATAGATAGGCAGTTTAAATTTGGCAAAGTTGCGTATTTTGATGCTTAACAAAACGCCGTTTTGAAACTTAAAAAATTCCGACTACTTTCGGAGATATCCGAAAAAAGCCGAAACTTTGCAAAATCGTTTTTATTTTTTACTGAAGTTATTTAAAAAGATATTTCGACATAAATGATACATTATTACGACCAATTTTTTCCCTCTACAAGATGCTACTTTTAAATTTTAAGTTTGACGTTTCGTCCCAGTCAACCATCATCAACTTTGTTTTTTCTTATTGAAGAAATTTTTACTTTTTGTGTCCTTTTGATGGAGAATTTTTTCTGATTTCAAAAATGTAAACATCACTATCTTTTAATCAGAAATAACGCTATTAATTCGTAAAAACGCAAGAAACTACCTACGTACACTACCCAAGAAAGTTTTCTAGGCAACAAAGAAAATATTTTCAAAAAAATTGTGATGTTTATATTTTTGAACTCTTCTATCAAATGACTCGCAAAAGTAAAAATTACTTCCATAAGCAAAAACAAAGTTGATGATGGTCAACCGGAGACGAAACGTCGGATTTAAAATTTGAAAGTAGCATCTTGTCGAGAGAAAAAAGTGGTCATAATAATGTGATATTTATTTCGAAATGTCTTTTTTAATAACTTCAGTAGCAAATAAAAACGATTTTGCAAAATTTCGGTGTTTTCCGGATATCTCCGAAAGCAGTCGGAATTTTTTAAGTTTCAAAATGGCGTTTTGTTAAGCATCGAAATACGCAACTTTGCCAAATTTAAACTACCTATCTATCTGTTACAGTTCCCGAGATCCCCGCGAATTTGAATCAGCCTGTATAGGGTCATTCTGAAATTGAAAATTTGCTTGCTATTTCCAAATTTTTATTTTACCATTTTAAGTTTGACCCAAAAAGAGCACAGGGCGCCTATATTACTTTTTTAATAGCACTAACAATTACAGAGTTAGTGTCGAAAATGGCACACCCTGTACAAGACCATGGTGGTCCATTGGGATCTCAATATCGGCGATAGATACAGTGGAGGTTAAATGGGGGCAAAGTTGCTCCGTTTTCTGACTGAAAAAAACGCACGAAAAGATATGTAAATTGAAAACGGGTAGGGGGCGCACTTTATGTTTGTGTATAATGAGAGAAAGAGAATTTTTGGCTAAAATCAAAAATTAAAATTTAAAAATTTTCGTTCCCTTAAGAGATGCGGCCTAAATTCAAAAAATTGTCCATTTCAGAATGACCCTATAGTTTCTTTATACTGATTATTGAATAGGCTGCCTTTTCAAAATACGTATACCAGGTCAAAAAAGTTATCGGCCCTAACCCCATTTTTTGAATTTAATTTAATAATAATTAATTAATACTTTTTTCAAAAATATAACACACCTGATATTCCAAAAAGATTTAAGTAATTAAAAAAAATTCAAAAAAGGTTCAAAAAGATTTTTGAATTCTTTTAATTTTTTAATCTTCTTTAATTTTCTTTATAGATTAAAATATACAAGGTGTTCCATTTAAAAAGTACGGTTATATATACTGCATTCATTATTAAAAGGTAGTAGGTAGGTGGCGCTGTGTTTGAACAAAAGCACACACCAGAAAGATACAAAACGGCACCAAATTAGGAAAATATAAAATAAATCAAACGCTTTCACGCTTGGACCTTGAAACTGGCACCTAGTGACAGTTCGAAAGCTTATAGTTGCCAACCGAAACTACTAACAAAACAAAATTAGACAGTCGTTTTTTTTTCAGCGTAATATTGGCTCGTGTTTTAACCAAGCACAGTGGAGGTCAAAGCTGACCTATGCTTTCTACCGCTACCTTCTTAAAATGAAGGTTTAGGTTCGATAACTTTTTCACCTGACCTCGTATACTTATTTTGAAAACTCAAAATAAAATCAAGTGCGTTTTTGATGGGTAAGTAAACGTACTTAACCATTAGTTCAGTAGTAAATTTTTATGGTACTAACCACTCTGCAACGTGACCGGCGGATATATAAGAAAGTATCACATAAAAAACATTTATTAAAAAAACTGATATAATTAGTACTCATTCCACTGTTGAAGATCCGTTAGGAAGCGATATGTCTTTCACACATTGGAAAGCGGAAACTAGGGCAGTCAGCTGGATGGGCTCATCTGCCCCGACTGACAGTCGATGCTCGATACTCGCCATTTTATCCAGTACATTGATGAGAACATTATAAGGAAATTCGACTGAAAGATCCGGTTTGTAAATTAAGTCGAGAAACGAACCACTTACTTCGATGGACGTAGTGATGCACCTCGGTAAGGATGTCGGGTAAAGCTAGCCCTTTTAACGTTTGTAGCTGCTTGATGTCTATGTAAATTAAGGCTTCAACACATCGAGTGTTGCGTAACCCAAAGGATACTGTTAACTGTGTCCTTGAAGCTTTCGTTTAAAAGCCACTTGATGATATTTTCAATGTCGCTCTTAAGCGGATGGCCTACACACGTGTACACGTTGTCCCCGGTTACATTCTTGAATGCCAACCAGGTGCTCTGTAAAACATTGAGTACTTTTCTCATGTCGCCGTTTGCTAGTGTGAGTAGCGCCTGTTTTCCGTCGTCAGTCACTAAGACTCTACAATACCACCACTGAGTCGATTATTGGCGGGGATGAACTTACTTTTCTTGCTCGATGACGTACTCCAGCCTGGGTAGGATTTGTTCGGGCGAGAGTGGCGCAAATCTGAACCTTGTGCAACGTGACTGTAACGCTGGTATGATCTTGCTTAAATAATTGCAAATGATGCAAAATCTTATATTTTCTGTATACTTTTCGATAACTGAAATGGAAGATCTGCTTACTGGCTATTGAGTTATTTGAGTCTAAATAATGAGGGGACATCCTGTATATGAGACTGTTTATATTCGAGTAAAGTAAATTATTAGTTATTCGCGAATAAATTTTAGAATTTTGTAATTGCTTTCTATCGCTCTTATCTCCAGACATACTTTCGTGCACGTTTACTATGAAGCGGTATATGTGTAAAATTTTCCTATACACATTCGAAAAAATCATTTTTGAAACTGCAAAGCGATCACTCGTTACACCACCCTGCCCACTATATATTCTCGTCAAGATAATTAAATTATTTTTGTTACATCCCAAAGTTCTTGCTATTTAGAAGACGAAAAGCAAATTAATACTTTAGAATTTCAGCCGCGTTAAGCCATCATTAGCAAGTTTCTGTTTCCTATGGTAATTTAAAACTACCAACACACTGGTATCAGTTTTGATAAGCGACCTTTATGCAAACCTGAGGAATTCCACTTAACAATGAGCCTTACTGGAGTACCGACTTTAGACATTTCAATCCGCCCAATTAAGTACCTAGTTATATAAATGTGTTGTAGTACACAGAATACGATTAAGTGGTGGGTGGGTTTTTTTTATAAGAAAGGCGGTTCCGCGACTCGAAAATGTTCCTTCGCATAATTTTTTATTACTAGACAATGACCTTGTTACGAAAGACACTAAAATACCGTCCTAACACAAAGCTAATATTGCAGGTAACTCGCACTTTGTCACCAATTTGATTTCAATTAACGTTTCTTAACGACGCGAATGAAGAGAAATAAAAATAAAATTGGAAACACTTTATAAAACGACAGTTCTTGTAGCGCACCAAAGCTAGTACGCAATCTCTCGAAAAATTAAATGCGAAATGATCGCAATTATACGAAAATAAAATTCTTACACCCAAATAATACGCGCTAGCTCTTTGAAAGTCTACGCTCGTCTGTCGAAAAACCTTTATCATAAATGTACGTTTTGTTATCGCCAGACGTACTTTTGTTCACGTTCGCTATGAAGCGGTACATGTGTAAATTTTTGTATACTGCATAAATACAAATACGAAAAACTCTTTTGATTCTAAAGCGACCACCCATTACACATAATCTTAAATTATGCATTATGCAATAAATAAATAAATAAACTAAACACTTGTCCATAAAAAAAACATACTGAGAACAGAGGCCTTTTCTCAGTCGCCTCTTGTTTTGGACAGATTTATCTGTTACACCCTGTACATATCATCATACACACTTACTTCTACGTAATGCATTCTGAGCATCCATCGTCATCGCATCTGCCTCATCAAGAATAATCAACTTGAACCCCGATTTAAATATAGTTCTCGTACTGGCAAAGGTAAGAATTTGACCCCTCACAATGCCGATACCGCGATCATCGGACGCGTTCAGCTCCAAAACCTACAGCAACGCCATTATCATTTCAATACGTCGTAGCGTACTAACGTACCATTGACGAGAACTGTTTGGGTGAATATAACTGTCTAGCGCAGGCCAAAATTGTTGTCGTTTTACCTGTACCCGGCGGCCCATAAAATAGTAGGTGCGGTACCTGGTCATCCTTAATAAATTTCTTAACTGAAACGAAAGGGGCACGTGACAATACCTGAGTTACCCTTGAGAAAATGACATACTTGTTCGAATGATGTCCTCGTGCGAGACCAGCTCTTCCAAGTCCGTTGGCCGGTATTTCTCCACCCTATAACAAATACCAATGAAATTCCCTGTGGGCAATTGCTGGCGGTTTACCATGGCAAGTTCACTCTTTCTACTTTTGCCATATTAAACTGGAAAAGTTTAGTGCTGTAAAAGTTAACGAGAAATTAGGTTAGAATTATGAAAATGGAGGGAAAACAATTCGGTCAAATGTACCCAGATGATGATGACAACCCAGTGGCGGCTCGTCTACAATCCTATTAGTGCGATTGAAAATGAAGTGATCAGCTTAAAATACTACAAAGAAATGTCAACACTATGTCAATATGACTGAATTTGATCAGAAGAGCAAGTCAGAAACGTCCTGTATATAAATTTTCTCAGTAACTTCAGTAGTTCCACACACTTTATTAGTAGTTCAAACTCTTCAAGAGTAGTTCAAAGACTTAATCAATAACGTTAAACGTCACAACACAACTTAACCTAATTTTAAGAGATCAATTGGCTTGTGTCCCCGTTAATAATGACTTTAGAAACGGTTCCCAAGGATTTACGTGGATTAAGAGCGTGTTTAGTGTGCTCGTTAGTTAAGGTACCGAAGAGCTTAGTTTTACGGTAGTTGACTGACCTTCACGAATCGTTACAGACCTTCGATCAGTTCGAGTACGAAGGGTGCGACAATTGCGACGAATTTCTTCGCATGAAGAACAACAGAGACAACGTCTACGATTGCACCAGCTCCAATTTCGACGGGTTTGTATCTGGTGGTCTTTAACGGTCGATTATTTGGTATCTTTCAGGATGATCGCGGCGATGAGCCCCGAGGACAGTTGGGTTTGCAAATGGCAAAGGATTAGTACGTATCGGTTACATGTTTGATTCCGGGTTGATTAATTATTTTGTCTAGATCGATTTTGCAAGGGAGTGTACGCGATTTCGGTGTCTGGACGACTACCCCAAGGTATTATAAGGGAGATGAAAAGTAGGGGTATAGTCTATAAGCCTAGAGATACTAGTCAGCGGTGACACGCTGTTATTCATCTCGATGTAATAATTGTAAGAAATCACACTTTCATTTGAACGATGTACCTACTTTAATTGTCCAAGAGCAACAATAAATCGAAACTTATAATTTTGTGTCTTATTTACTGTTGGTACAACCTTTTGAGTATGAGAGCACTGCGGTTGTGCGGGGGAAACCACAAGCAAATATAAAGGTATCCACCAGGGTAGTAAGAAGTAGATTAAGAGCTATCAGCAGACATAGGGAACAACAAATCAATCAATATATTGCACACAAGACAATATCATGGAAACCTTCGACGGGACAAAAACCCGGCATAGTTCGCACAAATAGATGAAATAAATGAAACAAAATGCACAAATAAAACATCTTGAATTGTACCACAAAAATGAGGTAATTGAATCAAATGCACTTCAATTCATAAAAACACAACACACGAGACCCCCTCCCCTTTACAAAAACTTTGGAAGAGAACTGTTGAAATCGCGTAAAAAATTTCATTATTTAATTAAAGAGTTCGAACGAAAGCCGTATAAAAGAATCATTAGCTGTGCAACTGAAGATTAGTACCACCATCATCGAAGAAATTATTGTCGTGCATTATACATTCAGTTTTAGCTGCCCTTTCGACCAAAACCATGAATAGTGCGAATAAGTTACCATTTAAATACGTACGTGAATATTTGCGGGTCATTTGAGGATCGGATTAAGATGGTCATATTCAAATAAATTGTTACCACGAAAGCGTTCGAGTCCAAGGTGCAACAATTTCGTTGCGCTATTTTTGGAGTGGCAAGTTACACTGAAAAAAAAACAATTTATTTGGAGTAATTATAAATAGTAAAAAAAGTAATTGATTTTCTTACCAACAAAATTAAATTCTGTACAAGAATACAGAAAGAAATCGCACTTTTTAAATTCCACCACCCTTTCTTTGAAACAATGAAAACAAAACACTCTCACAACGTGCATAGGCCGCTTAATTTAAATAAGACCAAAAAAAGTGCAAAAGAAATAAGTAACAATCTGTGCTATTAAGAAAAATATCTCATATATATTTATAAATAAGTGCAATTACATCAGATTAGTTTGTTTCCACAAAATCACATCACATTACATGCTCTTCATAAAATTTTCCGATGATCTGATGTCCAGCACCTCTCTCTAATAGTCAATATCAAATCTGTATCATACATTATACATACAAAACACAAATAATGTTAATGTCGAGTATTGATTTGCTCTAAAATCACAGTATACATGCATCTTACAGTCTAGCACAGGGAATCTGTCACGACAGTATAAACAGCTAAGATTTAAAGTCACTAAATATGAAGTCTTTCCCCATAGAAATCGACTGCACGGAAATTACGGAATTAATACAGAAATTGACATGGTTATCAGCGATATCTTTTGTTAAGTCATGGTATGATACAATTATAAATCTATCGAGGAAAGTGAAAATCATGGAATGTGTTCTCATATTTAAATGTTCATCACTCAGCCTTGAAATACCTACACAGAACACTTACCTACCCTAATATTAAATTTGACGTAACACAAAAACCCCGACAATATTTCAGATTGCGTACTTATCGACAAAAAATGCTCAAATCAAATTATCACAGAATTTTTACGGATGCACTGAAAACACCAAATTATATACAGGGTGGTTTTTTTGGAAACTTTAGTTAAAACGGTAGGTTTTTGAAAATCAGGTACTGCCACCATTTTGAAAATATTTTACATCGATTCTGTCTTCAGAGTAACCTACCTATTTCACTTTCCCAGAAATGTTTAAAGTAAAGCTCCCAAAAAATCACCCTGTATAAATATATATTTCGATTTAGCACCTTAAGTAGGTTATTAACCAATTGGACAGTGTTTGAATGTAAAAAATAAAGACACCCTGTACATATGACGACGATATCTGCTGCATTTTACTACTTAAAAATATTAAAATCTGGTATCACGTGAAAACATTTCGGAGAACAATGATAAAGAACAAAATTGGCTAAGAGTCGACCACCATCAGGGCCAAGTAGAGCGCCTGTCAATTGGCGCTGCTCAACCGTTGCGATCTCGACCAGGGCTGTTCGCGAGCGCTCGCGAACGCGACGTAGAATAAATTGCTGCCCATATTAATGCCGGCGGCGAGATAAAATACCATCCTCCATTGTCCCAGCGTTTCCTGAAATTAATAGTTTTTTAGTCCATTTCCGGATCTGTTTCAGTTTTTCTTGCGGGCCACCTCATAAATCAATACATAGAGGGCGTTCTTCAAGTTCCTAAGATGCGTTTAACTTACTTTTCCTTGTATGATCATTCCGATCGCGTACGGTGCCAGAAATCCGCATATATTACCGGCGGCGTTCGTAATTCCGTACATCGTCCCCGCGTACTTCGGACTCAGGGCGATGTGATTGGTCGCGGATCCGGCGTAAGTCGCCCCGCTAAAGGCGCCCGTCAGCGCCAGGACGACCTGAATTAGCATTCGATCGCATCCCAACCACGCGACGCCCAAAAGCCCGAGGGATGGGACGATCGACCCTGTAAAGGTACAGTAAAATTCAAGTTGCCTCGCAATTCGCGACAGACCTATGGAATTGAAGATTTTATACGAGGTAGAGAGAGACAGATATCCTTTGGTCAGCAACCAATCGGCGAATATGCTGATTAGTATGCCCGCAATCCAGCTGGTGAGATAAGGAATGGCGGATAATATGGAATTCTGAAATTGAACACTTGCGTATTAATTACGATTGTACGGGTTGTCTGTGAAACTAGTAAAGCTTCCATAATTCCTACTAATATAAGACTTCCGTATAAAAATCAAACAGGAAAGGAACGCACGTAAAAAACGTCAGCGCCTTGTTTGTAAAGAAATACGACGGGTGGCAGAATCACGGACGTAAAGGTGACGACAATAAACAAAAGGATAAAAAGTATCGTTTCAGTGTTTTAAATGTAAAAAGCCAGGACACATAGCAAAGGCATGTCCGAAAAAAACAAAAATGATAGCGCGACGGTCTTTAAGTTTGACCCAAAAAGAGCACAGAGATACTTTGTAAAGGTCCAGTAGATGTAGATTTAGGGTTAGAGTTTTAGGATGTGCTAACTTCACAGACAAGACTAAAAATGCACGATTAAAACCTGTTGAATGTCGAAGTGAAGTATTTCGCTCATATACGTAGGCATCTCTGTAAGTTGAGTGTAAAACGCCCACGCTTGTCCGCACATTGTGACCAGAATCGCCCACAATGGAACGCACGTAATAATCTGCAGCCACGGAACAGGAGCCCTGTCGTCTTCGTCCTAAAACAACTGTATAATTACTATCAAAAATGATAGCTAACAGTTAATACCTGCGGTCCAATACTGGCCAGAATATACGCCTGTTCTTGCCTGCATATTCGCGGATGAGATGACGGCGTATCATAAATAAAAAATATCCAAAACACCAACCAAACGATGCCCAATCCGCCAAAAACGTAAAACGCCAAAGGCCAACCGCCCATGAACTTCAATCCGCATAACCAACCCGAAATCGGCAAGGATAGAATCGTACCGAAATTGGCGCCCGCGTACACGTACGCCGCGAACTTGCTCCGCTCCAGCGGCGGAATCCAACGCGCCAACATCGCGTGCATGGCGGGAAACGTGACGCCCTGAAAGAAAAAAAAAAACGTCAGGCAATCCCCCTCGAAAATGACGCTGCTCCGAGTACCTCCCCCATTCCTTCGATGACGCGCACTATGATAAAAAACGTAAAGTTCAATTGCGCCGCTATCGGCGTTAGCAGCGTAAAGATGGCGGTCGTAAGGAGTCCGCAGCCGAAGACGATTTTCCCGCCGAATATTTCGGCGAGTCGCCCTCCCGGGACTTGCGTCAGCACGTAGCCGTAGAAGAACGAGCCGAGGACGATACCTTGTGTTTTCTCATCCCACATGAACGTCCCGTCCTAAAATTTAAATGTCATTAGGGTCGGTTTAGGCTAAAGTATACGTCACATTTCCAATACAATTAAATTCACGAAACGTGTTGCCTATTAAGTGAGTATAAATTAACTGTAGGTAATTAATTGTGTTGCAGTAAACCTTGACTAATTAGATTGTGTTTAGTGTCAAATGCAGCGCGCTTAATTGGTGTGAATTTTGGGATTGGTCCCGGATTGTTTGTTGGCCAGAAGCCCCGAAAGAAGTTTTAATTTTTGAACGCTTTCTTACGAATTCGTCGGGTAGCTGGAAAACCTGACCTCCCTTTCCGCCGTTCCGAAACCGCCGACAACCAGGTTTTCCGAATCTTCTGGTGGCGCTTGAGTTAAATCAAATTTACATACAGGCATTACTTGACGTTTTAGACTATTTCGAATGTATTGAAATTAAACTGAATGTCATTGTCACGTACAAAGTATCCCAGACGTCGAGGCGCCAGCAGCCGCCATCGAAGATTAGTCATCGGCGATAAATAAGAAAAGCGGATGTGACGCGTTCTTCTCAAAAAATCTGATGTGGCGACTTCGCAGCCGTTCGGTTTGCTATACAATCAAATTGAATCGTGTTTAATGAAGTTCCAACATCAATGTCGAAATTATTATTAGTGAAGTTCGCGCTCGTATGTGATAAATTGTGTATAAGTCGATCCATTTAAGGATTATTTAAATTCATTATTCATTAATTCACGCAATTAAATTTACGTTACAGCATTTCGATTAATATTACATGTACAAAATTAACAGATATGGGGACATTTTTTTTAAATTTCATCGTTTGATCGTAAATTTTACCTTGCACTCAGAGTTTTAAGTTCGAATTTTAAATTCACAATTTCGAATTCCGCTCAGAATTCTGACTTCAAAATTGTGTTTCTAGGATTTACAGAAGAGGGTAAACCACACTTCAAATTTTGTGTATACTAAAATTCTAAAGGAAATTCGAAAAAAATTCTAAAAATATAAAATTCCCAAATCAGTAAATAAATTCTTAGAAATTCAAAAAAGTTCTAAAAAATTCTAGGATGTTCTAAAAAATTCTAGAAGAATTCAAAAAAATTCTAGCGTATGTTGTTGAAATATACGTCAAAGTATGCAACTTTTTTCGCTCGTATGTAATTTACTACTTACTTACAACTCTTGTAATGTATTTCACCTATTAAAAAATTGCAAAATTTTAAAATCAGTAATTTCTAAAAAATTCTAGAATTCAAAAAAATAGTACTAGCGTATGTTGTTAAAATATACGTCAATTTATGCGACTAGCGTGCACTTTTTTCCGATGGTATGTAATTTGCTACTTACTTACGACCCTTGTACTTAATGTATTTTACGGATTAAAAAATTGCAAAATTCGCAAAACAGCAAAAAAATTCTTAGAAATTCAAAAAAATTCTAGGATGTTCAAAAAATTCTAGCGTATGTTGCTACGTCAATGTATACAACTTTTTCTGATAGTATGTAGGTAATTTGTTACTTACTTACCACTCTTGTAATGTATTTCACCTATTAAAAAAATTGCAAAATTTGAAAATCAGTAAGTAAATAAATTCAAAAAATTCTTACAAGTTCTAAACGGTCCCAGAAAATTGTAATAAATTCTAAAAAATTTTAGAAGAATCCAAAAAAAATCTACTAGCCTATGTAATATACGTCAATGTATGAGAGTAGAGTGCAATTTTTCCAAAGGTATGTAATTGGCTACTTACTTACAACTTTGGTAATGTATTTTACCGATTGAACAATTGCAACATTCGCAAATCAGTAAATAAATTCAAAAAAATTATTATAAATTCCAAAAAGTTCTAAAAAATTCTAGAAAAATTCAAAAAATTTCTACAAAATGCTAGAAGTGTACACCAAAATTCCATACCCTCGGGGTTTGCTTAAATAAGACATATCCCTTATCTAAAGTGACAAATGTTCAAATATTTATACAGGGTGCTTAGAAATTTATACCAAACTTGGTACATTTGACACAGTTGCTAAATTTTTAATTATTGGCTGGCTTTTATTAACTATCAGAAAACAATTGCTGTTGTGTCAAAAACCAAAATACCGTCATAATATCCATTCCAGAAATTTGGATTTATTCATCACCAAATTCATATTAAACTTATATGTCACAAATTCTGAATTTTAATTTGAACAGGGACAGATCAAAGGATTTCAATGTTATCATATACAGTGCATGTATGGAATGTACACCCTGTATATTTAATTTCTAAAACTACTTTATAAAATAATCACATTTAGGAGGATCAATAAACAGCAGGAAATTTCATGAGTAATCTACATCTATGTACAATTATTCGCATTGGTTTTCCCTTAACAGTCTACATTGGACACCCTGTATACAACAGGCCCTTTTGAACGAAAAGGCCCATAGCACTCTTCCCGAAAGATTTCAAAATATGGTATACGATCGGATTCTTCTGTTACAAATATGAAGGTTGCTCTGAAAATCACCCAGAGCAGCCTAAAAAGCTGTCTAGCACTTTTCTCTGCCTTCTAGAACCCTGGACTGGAGCAAGAAAGCTCAGGAGGACAGCCCAATCTGCTCGAGAGCTGCAAAGGTTCGGGAAAACGTTTAGGTTTTATTAAAGCTGTTCCTGACATACACTTTTGCCTATACCAGGCCCCATACACCGCAATCTTGTCTCACCTGAGGTTTTATAGTCGTGTTCGTACTGGCTGGAATGGGACAGTTATCGAAAGTGTTGTTGGTAACGTTGGTAACCATCGCCGTGTGATTTACCATCGCCACAATAGCCACGGATAAGTTCACCCGCATCGCGTAGACGTTCGCGAAACCTAAAAAGCCGAGAATGCCGAGGACGTGTCTGGCCTTTAAGATTCGTTTGGTGTCCTCGACTAAAACAACGACAATTAATTACTCGGACCGAAGTTTCCGGCTCTTACTTTGCGGCGGTATGATTTTGGTGAGGTCATCTTCGTCCTCTTCCACGACACTATCCTCTTCACTCTCACTGTCACTTTCCAAGACGTTGATGGAGGGTTCGTGCGGTAAAACCATTTTTGATTAAATACTTATGAACTGTTCAGCTGTGAATCATAACTGAAAAGATCAATGGAAACGAATAAAATTCTTTTGTGCACGAAGTGAAAGCTAGAATGTAATTGAGGTTATAAAAACGTTTTAAAGGGGTGTAATTTTAGTACGTAATAAGCGATAAGTAATAAATAATTGTATGGAAAATTAGTCAACACCGAATTATCTGTTATCAGCTGACTGCGTTCCATAAGATTTTATTTGTTATGATTTTTAAATGTGATTCATGTTTTGCTATGACGTAATGAATGAATGCGCTGTTGTCACGTTTCATACCATATTTTACTATACAGGGTGTCCAACGAAAAGCCGATTGTTAATGAAGATCAAATACTTGACTTGTAGGCTTCAAGTGAGTACAAAACAAGTTTTGGGAACAATGGGTAAGGTAAGCAGGTACCAAGATTCTGAGAAAGGGTGAAATACACAGGATGTGACTCATCTTTGGTGCAATAAAATCCTTCTGTTAAAAGCAAGGTGGAAAATTACATGGCCTAGTAGGACGAATTCAATGTTACCACAAAATATGTGGAAATCAGTAAATCGCAACTCATAGATTCTAAACCGAAGTTACATAATCTTGTCCCCAAGATATGTAACTCGCCCCTAGTTTAGGGGTTTCAAGCCTATACAGTTGAATGTCGTAAACAATCACGGAATTCTCATTTGATTACAGTTTTTTGCCACCCCCGTGACTGCTTCATTTACGGCGAAAATGTTAGTTACAAACAAGTCAGTACATACATCAAACGAATCGGTAATTCTCACATATTGCAAGAATGAGCAAAGTCTATATGAATATTAGTTCTTGTCAAGACCATGTAATCAAAACATAAAAGATTGACACACACACAAAATATAAAATGCTGCAAAACACAAATACATTATAAAGAAATGCAAAGATTACTACCTGCATTAAATAACACAAAAAAACAACAAACACTTACGGAGCGAAGCGTTCGCGACCGCGGTTAAAAACAAAATGCCAAACGTAACCAACGTTCGTGCTCTCCAGATGACGCAGACAGCTATATCCCATCTTAAAAGTTGCGCGGATGCCAACTCTCAAAATTGTGTGCATTGTCGTAAGTTGTATATACAGGGTGGAACCTCTCACATGTTAAATTACGTTCCTTTTTATCATTAATTACAATTGTTTACCCTTCAATTCGTGCAAGACTTCTTTATTTATTTAACCACAGGTCTCATAACAAATTGTAAATTTTTGACTTTTAAAGTCCTCAAAGACCTCACGACAGAAACCGACATTTTGAAACCTTGAAAGCCTTTAAAATCCAACAATGATAATAAAAAAAATTGATGAAGGCCATTGGAAACTCCTGAAGACCCTTGAAACCTTAAAACAGTTTACAGAACTCCAAGGCTTTTATAAACGAATTAAAGCCCTTTTTTTTCCAAAAATCGACTGCACCAAAATTTCTCGGCAAAACACTTTTTCTTATTAATTTTGGTGCGTAGAATCCAAAACAATTCGTACTTTTTCGATCAGACTTCTCAATCAAAAGTTATAGACTAGAAACCAATTTCGAAAGAAAATTCAAAGGGCTGTAACTTTTGAACTAGTAGCCCAATCTTGGAACTGTTTGAAATTATGGATTCTACAGGCCACATTCTATAAGAAAATTTTTTTTCCGGGTCGATCTGAGACAATTTTTTTTTCGGGGCTCAAAAAAAGGCAGTGTATAACCTTCCTTTTTTACCAAAAATCGACTGCACCAAAATTTCTCGGGAAAACACTTTTTCTTATTAATTTTGGTGCGTAGAATCCAAAACAATTCGTACTTTTTCGATCAGACTTCTCAATCAAAAGTTATAGACTAGAAACCAATTTCGAAAGAAAATTCAAAGGGCTGTAACTTTTGAACTAGTAGCCCAATCTTGGAACTGTTTGAAATTATGGATTCTACAGGCCACATTCTATAAGAAAATTTTTTTTCCCGGGTCGATCTGAGACAATTTTTTTTTCGGGGCTCAAAAAAGGCAGTGTATAACCTTCCTTTTTTACCAAAAATCGACTGCACCAAAATTTCTCGGGAAAACACTTTTTCTTATTAATTTTGGTGCGTAGAATCCAAAACAATTCGTACTTTTTCGATCAGACTTCTCAATCAAAAGTTATAGACTAGAAACCAATTTCGAAAGAAAATTCAAAGGGCTGTAACTTTTGAACTAGTAGCCCAATCTTGGAACTGTTTGAAATTATGGATTCTACAGGCCACATTCTATAAGAAAAATTTTTTTCCGGGTCGATCTGAGACAATTTTAACTTCAGGGCTCAAAAAAGGCAGTGTATAACCTTCCTTTTTTACAAAAAATCGACTGCACCAGAATTTCTCGGCAAAACACTTTTTCATTTCGGTGAGACATTTTATTAGCATACCATGAAGGGTAAAACGTGTGTTCACCCCCCCCCCTTCATTTCCAAAATTTTATGTAGCACCACTAAAGTATGCAAATTCTAAAACCAGTTGGTTGTCGCATGTAAAAAATATGCACGATTTACATTCAAAAACAGCACCCCAGGATATAATTCATGGGAACCCCCCCCCCCTCCCCCCCTTGAGACAGCGAAATTGGGTGTCTGTCTGGCACACCTTCAAGATATAGGTTACATATTACAAAAAATTCTAGGATTCTAGCACCATTCCCCTACAAGTAGTTCAAAACCGCAGAAGTGGGTCCGGACGGACGGACAGACGGACGGGCCGACAGAACGCAAACAATAGCACATTTTTTAATTCTAAAAAAATTCGCGAAAAAGCATTATACGGGTCACTCTGTAATTGGACACCAGCCTGTTGAGGGCCCAGGGCAAGAGAGGGGCAATAAATAAATAAATGAATGAATAAATATATAAATAAATAAAAGATTCAATACAAGAATTTAAAGGTTTTTAATGAGGAGCGTAGTATCTTCTTGTACGGAGAGTATCCTTGGTTACGTCTCTCCACCGGGTTGGCCTGTGGGTGGAAAATGGGAGAGGTCCACTAGATAGCATCCCCAGTGGGTGAGTGCCGCGTTCCAAGTGACGGAGGTAAACTGGGGTCCGTTGTCCGACACTATATGGCTCTGGGAAATTGAAGGCGTCCGAAAACTTCGCTTTCCAGCGTGTTGACCACGATGTCGGTGGTGACGAAACGTAGGGGAAAGTGTTACGATCACGATGAATCTGTCGTCGGTGTTCGCTGCGGTCCCATAAGGTCCACGGATATAATCTCCAATGAGCGACTTGGTTGGCATCTTCTATCGGTCCTCGTTTGATGGCGGCCCACACCCAACAGGTCCTCACGTATTCATGGCCCGTTCTGTTTCGTCTGCTCCAGGGTGGCCCGCTGATTATTTGGGACTACCAGCGGGTTGCCTCGTGGTGATTGACGGTATAAGTACCCGGGTCGATTGAACTGTACCTTTGCGGGTGCCCTCCTGTTGGATCCTATGCCTATCTCTGGCTGTTTTTGACCTGATCCACTAGGTAGGCTACTTAGATCGTCGCAATTACCGAGTTACTGAAGGTGTGGCTCTGTGGATGTTCGATTGTGGGAGGAAACATGCGGTTGACGTCCTCTGACGTAGCTTCGTCGGCTTCTTCCCTCGACGGGTAGCGGGACAGTTGGCCAGGAAGTTCATTTTCTCTTCCGGGGCAGTGAATTGTTTCGTACTGGCCTAACTGATGATGTTCCTTCCTCCGTGGCGGCGTTCCTCGTGATCCCGTTCTCGCTAGCCGGTCTGCAGGACAATGAAACACGTACCTCCGAATTCAATTACTCAGGCCCAGGAAACTTATTAATTTTTTCCGCGGGGTAGGTTATTCTGCTGTCCGGATACTCTCGACGTGTTCCTGACACGGGCGGTTTCCTTCTGCCGCGACGGTGTGATCGAGGTTTGCACCCCAAAACGCCATTGGTCGATGGACAGATGGAGCCGGTGGCGTTGTAGCCCCTCCAGGACGAAGTGTAGGTGTCTGAGGTAGCTACCCCCACCAGGAGTCAGAGTAGACGATTATGTCATCCACGTACACTATGACAAATTCTTTAAATTGGTAGCTCGCACCGTCAGAGGTGGAAAACGCTCCAGTAATCGGATGCGGTGTGTAGTTGATGATGTTGTGAGAATTGCAGTATCGGTGAGGGGGCCTCCGAAATTCTCCAGGAATGTGATCAAGTGTCGATCTAGCGGTAGCCGGATAAATTATAATAATAAATTCCCTGGTGAATGTCACCTCTTTCATAGTCCAGTACTGCTCGGTGTTTTCGGAGCTCTTCTTGGTCCAAGATGGCAGGTACGGCGAGTTACTCAGAAGTGGTCTGATTTTGACTGGTCGTTGGAAGTGTACTTGACTTTTTGGCATTTCGACGCCATTTTGACATCTGCACCAAAATGCGAAACAAAGCAAAGAGCGGTATTCGTTAATTTTGGAAATGGCGGACAGATTTATAAATGTAGTGTTGGCGTACTTTAAGTCCCGTGCTAACAGTGAAGGTTCATTCGTAACTTCAGCTAAAGAAGCAATAAGTTTCTTTATTTCAGGCGATCTTCCAACTCGCTTCCTAAATGGGGTAACGTGTGATAAGTCGCACGTGGTGCAAAGCTGCTTGGATCAGGGGGTGAACGTAAACCTCAAAAGAGAGGAAGACGGCGAAACGGCCTTGCACATTGCCACATCAAACGGTTACTGCAGTATGGCGTCGCTCCTTCTGCGACAACCCAGCATAAACATCCATGTCAAGGATGACCACGGTTACGATGCGTTACACCTCAGTTTAGAAAAAGAGAGCGATTTGGAGATCACAACTTTGCTCCTGGAAAATACGGCAAATCCGAACAGTATCGACCGCTTTGGAAACACTCCACTGCACGTAGCGGCTCGCAGGGGCTTGTTGAAGATGGCGAGTCTTTTGCTGAAATACAAAGCCGATCCCAACATAATTAACGCTATGGAACGGACTCCGTTGCACGTAGCCGTTTTGGAGGCACCATTTTTAGCTATGGTAAAATTACTTGTTGGCAATGGAGCAGAAATGGAACACGAAGCTGGCCACGTGCCTCTCTTCTTAGAAGCAGTCATCTCATACCAGACCTATGAACAGTTACAAATCATACTTTACCTAATGGATGAAAAAATTGACGTAAACGTCACCGATAAGTTCTCCCAAAGAAATGCCCTGCACTTCGTGGCGATGACACAAAATAACGCCTTGGCCGTTAAACTGCTAAAGTACGGGGTGGATCCGGACCACGTGGATTCCAGGGGTAGACGACCCGTCGACGTCGCCGTGGAGCACCGCCAGGAATTAATGCGCTACCTGTTAGAAAACGGCAAAGTCCTACTGAAATTAATCAAGCACAGGCCTAGCATGTTCTTGTAACCCAAAAAAAAACAGCAAAGGGCATTAGGTAAGGAGTGGAATGCATTACACTTTATTCATTAGTGGCTAACATTAAAAACGTGTAATTATATTATACTGACTGATGTATAATACCTTTTTTTCCGATTAATAAAATACATGCGGATAGAATTTGAGAAATACATAAATAACATCTATTACTTTATTAAACAATTAAAAACGAGATATGCGTTTAGGGGTTTACAGCACCATCCTGCGGTATAAAGGTGCGTTCGGTTCACGCTGCGCCGCCAGCAGTTGCGAGAGTGTATAAAAATCGCTTCTCTGCGGTGGTCCGTTGATGTATCTCAGCTCCCTCGTCGGGTCGTTACGTTTACGAGCCACCATAAAGCGTTTCTTCTTATTCTCGGGGAACCGCCCCCATTCGCCTCGCTTATCCTCGTACATGTAGTTGGGGCTGGCGCGGTTTGTGGCGTGCGGGTAAACGACGGGCGTGTCGAGCCAGTTTTCGTCGTCCTCGTCGAGTTCGTTCTCGTTTCGGTCGTCTAGGTCGACGTTCGGTTCGTATCGCGACCAGGTCGGTCGGTAGTCGTCCGAGGTGTGACGCCTTTCGTTCTCCCACAGTGACAGTAGGGTTAGGAACTCTTCGGGCGTTAGTTCTATATCTCTCTTGTAACGGCTGTTTAATCTGCAACAAGGAAACAATAATCAATAAGCGCTCTTCATCGAGTGGCTTTATAAATGTTCACTAAAGGCATGCGTATGCAAATTCTGAGACGCTTGTATTTTGTTTATTTAATTGTAAAGATATTATGTGTTTAAAAGTGTTATCTCCGGACGTGCCGATAAGAAATTTGTTATTGCTTCGTTTGATAATTAGTTTCAAGATAAGCAGTTTTCGCAAATAAGCGGATTGCACAATATTTAAAATAACATTACATCAAGGTTGCGACATGAAATTTACTGGGCTTTACGTGAACTTTGTCCGTGTATGATGCCTAAGCTTTTACCGCGAAACCGTTGGAGGAAATGGCAAAATTACGACGCCCCAGCAATAAAAATGTAATTAAGACTTCTTGTACTTACAAAGCGAAAGCGGCGAGAAGCGCTTTTTATGTGCACTTTGTAGGAGAATATTTTCTTTTACTAATAGCATATACAATTAGTCCAAAGCGACGACACAGAGGAGGTGCACTTTGATATTGGATTGCGAGTAATCAGATTACGTTATTACAGGAATTATACGTACCTACTAAATTACAAACTTAATTACATAACATCTACATTCATCGCGGAAAATATTTGGAATCCAATTATGTCGGGAACATACACGATTTCATGAACATGTACCTTCCGTTACGCGATGAAATCGTAATTAAAATTCGTAATTAGTGGGACAGCCTGTGTGTCGAATTTCTTTTGAGAGAATTTCCCAGACAATAATTATAGTTACGGTAAAGACACCTTCGTGGTAGAAAAGGGAAGGGCAGACGAAATCGATTAAATTCGAACTATAATAATTGCAAGGATAATAAGGAACCAGACTCCTTACTCCGACCAAACGTGGGTGTTTCACTGGTATCAATGCAGTGGGTCACGGTCGAAAAAAGGCAAACTCAGTCTTCGTCTGGAAAGTTGATTGGCGACCCTTTTCAAAAATTTTGTTTTAAATGTGCGTTTTACTCAACACAGGAATACCGCTTCATAACGAACGGGAACTAGAGTAAGTCTGGCGATAACAGGCGATAACAAGAAACACGGTTGCCACCTAGGGGGAAACAAGTACCATTTTTGGCGTACACCAAAAATTCAAATTCAAATTAATTCACGTTAATTCAAATTAATTCATGTTAATTCAAATTAATTCACGTTAATTCAAATTAAATCAAAGGGGTGTACACCAAAAATTCAAAGGGGAAAACAAGTACCATTTTTGGCGTACACCAAAAATTAAAATTCAAATTAATTGACGTTAATTCAAATTAATTCATGTTAATTCAAATTAATTCACGTTAATTCAACTTAGTTCACGTCAATTCAAATTAATTCACATCAATTCAAATTAATTCACGTTAATTCAAATTAAATCAAAGGGGTGTACACCAAAAATACAAAGTTGTTTCCCCCTAGCTTGCCACGATCTCTTGCGTTCATTCTATTTGATCCGGTTAAAAAAGTCGAAATGCGGGTTTTCTATTGGTTCTTAGGGCACGCCAGTCATGGTCATTGTGGTCATAAAAGAGGGACCGTTTCGGTTATTCTAGCGGGCGAGATGAAATGGCGAGAGAAGTGGGAGAACGAGGATGCTAAGCGAATAGGTCCTGTTCTATTTCTGGTTTGTGGTTTGCCTCTTCCTCCTCGGATGGTCCCCCAATTTCTGGACAGGGTCTTCTTGAAGGAGTACCAGCATTTCCATGACGAATTCCTGCAGGATGTTCCATGTCAAAATCGTACCCTTGCAGGCGTTCGATCCATACTGCCAATAGTAAAGCAGTAGTTTAGTTCTGGTTTCGAGAGCTGATTACCCTTTCCAGTCCATCCTGTATTGTTCAGCTCGAAGTTGTTTTCTTCCCATGTTAACAGCTTCGCGATGAATGCAAATCCCTGTACAAAAACGTCTGTAGTACGTACATAAACCCAGGAATCCTCTCAGTTGGGGTTTACCCTTTGTAGTAGACCAATTTTGGATCGCTACTGTCTTTTCCTGGTTAACCCAGGCCCCCCCCCCCCACGAATAATTCCCTGAGATGATGTTTTTGGATAGGGGGGGGGGAGGGGTGATAAACACACATTCTACCCTTCATGGTATTATAATGAAAGATCTCAACCAAATAAATTGGTTTGTACAAACTATAACTTTCCCGTGCGATTCTTTTTCGAGAACACTGGGTAACGGGGACGGGGGGGGGGGGAGGAGGGAGGTAAGAAATTAATGTATCTTTCATGGCATTCTAATGAAAGGTCTAAGCGAAAAGCGCCGTTTTCTATACCAACTACTACTGACCTTCTGACCCCTTATCAAAAAAGGGGGTTGAATGGAGGGGGGGGCAGTGTGACTGGTTTTATCCTTCATGGTACTCTAATGAAAGGTCTCAACCAAAGGAATTAATTTCTACCAACCATAGTCCTCCTCCTCGACCCCTGATATCTCCAGAACGGATTGTCGGAAGAGAGTACTCACAAAGAGCAATATATCTTAGTTTTTTTGTGCATGTAATCTTCAAATGTCCGAGTTCCTCGCAATTCCAACATGGAGGGCGGCTTTTTTTCTAGGTTTTCTATCTTCTTCAGCTGCGGCCGAGGAGCGAAAAACACTACTCCTCCGAGAATTTTAAAGGGTATCTCGAATTTTAGTTCGGACGTAAGACGGATAAGATGCAAGTGCCATCACCAACGAAAATTAGAAAATAACGTGGGCACTTACGAAAAAATTCAGTCTCAAAACTCACTTTAAGAGTTCAGTATTAATTGAGCCGCGTTTAGAAAGTTTTCCAAAGTGGAATGTAACCACTTATTTTAATTAATTTCCATTCATGCTACGTGGAGCAGCAATCCATAACGTTTTTCATTGGAAGACCTCTTTTAAACCAATTAATACCTACCGAGTATCACGTTCAGTCGCTATAAAAACACTCGAATGGAATTTATAGCGCAAACGGCTAATGCAATATCCGATACCACCGGCTCCTACATGAACTGCAATATTATTGAAATAAACGACGAGGCACTTCCGAGGTATTTCATTGGATGACAGCATCTCCATTGCGGAAATTTCATTTCGTTGGATAGCAACGCGAGGCGAACTAAAATTCAAATCCCAATTCGTTTCCAAGAACTTGGATAGACGTCAAAAACACATCACTGCATTATTTTCGGCAACCTAACACATAATTACAGTACTCTATCCAATTTAATGCAAATATCTCTACTGTCCACAGCTATAACGTCGACAAATAAATTTCTGGAGAGCATGTCAGAGCTCATTTCCATTTCTCCATTCGGCTTCCTGTTCATGTAAGTGCCCGCATCCCTCTTTCCGCCAATTACGAATAATGGCTACGAAAGTTCTGAAAATTACTGAGGCCTTTTAACCCACACCATCAGATGATTCTGAAAATATTGGCTTCATACTAAATACATCGGTAACAGTTTGATTCTTCTAATAGCACGATAAAAACTCCTTGTGGAAGGAAGGAAATGGAATATGCTCGAAGAATGGGAAGACGCTTATTGATATTAATCAAACGGAACGTCGGTAGAAATAAAAATCCATACCTATTGTTCTCGTAAAGGTTGAGATTTTCGAGAACAATCTGATGGAGAAACACAGCTGAGCTTTCGTGATCTTTGGAGTGAGATACAAATAAAATAAACGTGCTGAGCTTTATTACCTTCGCAAATCACGTTAAATCTACGTCTACTTTCCTCATAACTTAAAGTGGATTGTCGTACGTAGGTGTGACATAGATAAATTTGCATTATCAACATAAATTGTTCACTCATAGATTATATGGCTGGAGTGAAAACACCGTATGTCGAACAGCTGGTTTTTAATGGAATTTAATACCTTCTCGTAGCTTTTTGTGAAGCAATTTTTACTTTAATGGAGTTTTTATCACTGTGTCTCGACGGAGTCGTGGCGACTCTCGCGGCCGAGGTGATTAGAATGCACTGTACCTACTTCTACGATATTCTAAGGACCTCAGCCGTAATATACCTCACACAAATGGCTGTAGTACTAATAAAAATGAAATAGTGGAAATAGAACTCAATTGGGGTCAATTGACAGCCCACTCAAATTTAATGAGTGGTTTCCTTTTACGGGGTTAACTGCAGGGCGCAGGGGCTATTTTTTTAATCGGCTCCAAACTCGGGCCTAGATACTTTTTTTCCTAGGTTGCTGCTAGTTGGCCTTTTCTGGTACATAACTTCTTATACGCCTTTTACGATTAAACTATTACTATTTCAAAAATACACGTGCGATACTATTTGCAAGAAGTTATTTCAGAACATTTATTTCTAAAGCGCTTTTCATGAAGATTTTCTAGTAAAATTTTCTTGGTAGAATTCAAGAAAGAATCTACCTAGAAGGCTACGAAAAAGGTTTCCACATGAGTTTCCTAAGAAGCTCCCTAAAAGTATAGTTTTCAAAAGATTTCTTAGGAAGACTTACGAGAAGGCTCTGAAGGAGAAATTCGAAACATGTTTTTAAGAAAGCTTACAATGTTTCTAAGAAGATTCCTTCAAAAAATATTAACAAGATTAGAGGCTCTTGAAGCAGATTTCTGATTGAGAGAAATGGTTCAAGCTAATGGACCGAAGGGAGGAAGCTTAAATCCTGAGTACTGAGAGAAGGAGTTAAGTTTAAAACAAACGCGAACAAGCACCCTAAAAATAGTTCTTAGATGATTTGTCTATATATGAAAACAGACAAATTGAAGTAAAATTAACCCCCCCCCCTCTCGACCTGCGGGGGATACTTTGACACTCAATACGTTTAACCCCAAAAATTATTTACAAACATTATTGTATAAGTGCTAAGGGTTTTATCGTGTTGAAAAGGATGTACAACCAAAGGTTTGGGAGGAATGGAATACCTTCCAGAAACAAAGGAATGATTCAATGTTCATTTCTCTATGAATTTTCGTTTACTGAGGGGGGGGGGGGGTATTAGACCCTCCGGTGATA